GGGAAATAACTATAGCTTCGAGATATTATATAAGCCTACGTTTAATCCTCTATAAGGCTTAATCGTACTATTCTCGCCTACCTACCGAAGCAAATTCAAGACTAGTACCTAAAAGGGACTATTATAAAGGTTGTAAAGCCTTTATACGGAATCGTAGAAGCTAGAACCTACTAGTAGGCAACGTATTATAAGCATTATAGAGAGAATCTCTAGATAGTTACTTCTTTATACGATCTATGCTTATTAATCTTATCTACCGAAAATCTATACTTTAGCTATATCGGCATATAAACCGACGATACCCTCGGTTTGTTAGACAAGGCGTTCTTATAATTAGAAGACGAATAGTTAGAAAAAGCAGCTTTTATAGCAAAAGCAAAAAATATCCTTATAATTAACAAACCCTTCTAATTTAACGAAAGGATAATCGCGCTATTAACCGATAATTCGATTAATTTAAAGTAAAAGGGATAAGCTAAGAAGTTACGATATATTAAGACTACTAAACCTAACCTAAAATAGCAATATATCGAACAACGCGCTAGAAGGGCGTATATCGCGTTAATTTGCTAACCCGAGGCTTGTTTCGATTTATCTACTACTACCTAATACTAAGACCCTTTGCTAGAAGCGATAAAAGCACTAAATCAACGGATTCGATAGTAAATAGAATCGCCTAACTAAGGAATAACGTTTATCTTACTCGACCTTATAATAGCTAAGCTATTCGTTTTCGTTAATAGGTCGTTTGCTAATAACTACGACCTCTCCTCCTAATTAGGGTTTCTAATTATCCTAGCTAACGATACTTCCTCTAATAGTAATAACGGAGAATTTACGATTTACGGTAACCTTGTTTATTATAGCTTTACGAAGAGTAAACAAGTTACCCGTAGCGTATTAGCGTTAGAGATCTACGAGATAGTCGCTAGCGTCGATATAGCTTACGCCTTCGCTATAACCTTAGCGATAATTACTAACTACCTTAACCTATTAACGATTTAGATAGTTATCTATACCGATTCTTATTCGCTATATAAGTATCTCGTAAAGCTAGGCATTACTAAAGAAAAGCGACTTATAATCGATATTATAGCGTTAAGATAATCGTACGAAAGACGAGAACTATAAGAAATTCGTTAGATTAACAGCGAAGACAACCTTACTAATGCCTTTACGAAGAGCAAACTAAATCAAGCCTTCGAGAGATTTATTAATAGCAATACGATAACGATACGTATAAAGGGATAGGTAATAAGACCGTAACTACGGGAAAAAGTAGGGATAGGAGGCCGAATTGACGAGGAGACGGAACTATATAGGGATAACGTATTCTAACCGCTTCAACACTATAAAAAGAGAGTTTCCAGTGTTGCGATAGTTGGAATACGGAGTCGTATGGCACTTCCAGCCACACGCCCGCCAGGCTGAGAGGCCCAAGCCTCCCAGACCCACGTGACAGGCCAAGGGGGAATATCCCCACCTTCTAGTCAACAACACCACTTTCAACTATCATGAACCATCGATTAGAACCAATTTACTGTTATTTGTTATTGACGAACGGAATTCCGTTTCACCCCCTGTGAAACCTACAGAATCTTACACGGCAGATAAAGCCGCTAGAGAAAGCAAATGAGCAATCTGCATCTTGGAGGTATCCGAGTGGTGGAAATCGATGCAAGTGAATGACTTGAAAGAGGTTGTAGACACAGAGGTATTGTTGTCTAGAGACGCGAGTAAATATCGTAGTGGAACAACCAAGTATTTATATACTGTATTTGAAGTTGGGTCCTGTGACTGACATACCTGATCAACTACACCTTGAGAGTTGGTTTCCTCTTCACCACATGCTTCGGTAATTTCCACATCAGCCATCAGGTATATTACCCACTTCAGTATCACTACACATAAGGAAATCTAATCTTGCGATGCGCCAAACAAGTAATCAACCGGGTAGTAGCATTCGTCCACGTGCCTCGACGTCACCCGAGCATCGGCTCGAGTGACCCCGGTAGGGGTTCTATTTGAGAAAAGTAGATGGCTGTTAACAAGCCGAAGCCCTCGCTCGGCACGTTTGCGTGAATCGTGCGTCGTTCAGTTTTTCCCAATCCGTTCAAGTAGAAGAATACGGATCCATACGTCTCCGCTATGGCGGACCGCCAGTGTGTGGACAGCTACCAGGTTTTGTACATTCCATTTTACTGTGAGTCAGCTGCGCTTCGTAGGACGGATGGCTCCTCTAATTCAACCATTCAGCTTCCATTGAAAATTAAAGTTCAGGGAAGAGCCCTACATTCCTCTGCCGCCGGCATCATATCCCCGTCCCTTTGTCTTGATTAGTCGAGTGGTCATAGCGAGAACAGGTGAGGACCAATCTAATGTTGACTGCATGTTTTTTGGATCGTTGTACCTTACCAACAGTCATTTTGTAGTTTTTGCTTGTAGCGCTTGAACAAATTGCAATGTTCGGGTTCCGTTATATGTCTACTATCTTGCTTCATTCCTATCTTTCAGTAAGGTAAACAAGAAACTGCTAAGATCAACGATTCTGTAGCTCCTCGTTCCGCTCTCTACCTACAACCGCTTTCTTGGCCGTTCCTGGTCACCGACGACATCTCAAGCTTCATATGACGGTCTAAATATATTGGCTAGGCGTAAATGGTTATCACCGGTCAAGACCATACCCTAGTTTATGACGGTTTTAATGACATATAAGTCGCGCCGTTGACAGTCAGGATAGCAAAACATACTAGCGATAGACGTACTGAACGGATATTACTTCATCTAAAAGTTTCCACTACTTACTAGCTTCATACAGATAGAGGATTTTCAGAAATAAGAATCCTAGTCGCATTTCACTACATTTCCCGTAGTGAGGAAGAACAACAGTCACAAATGTAGAATAGGGAGTCCCGTGTGGGGCAGATGATTTTGACAGACACTAGCAAATGCCTGCTACTTCGGGAAGGGCATCTCATAATGGTATATTTACCCCGAGTTTCTTTCATAAGTGCCACAATCAATAAAAGGCCGTGTTTCGGTAGGTTTTAGCCGAGAGATAGGCCGGTACTCGGGAAGAGAGTTTCAGGATTCACTTCCGAGAGAATTGGCTGGAGACGCATAGCATCTCGGCCTCAGATAGCATATCAACACCGGGTTTACCCGGAACACAAGTCTTCAAAGTGCAAAAGGAAGCGATCTAAGGGCACACATGTTAAAGACTAACCATCTCAGGGCTGCTCACCTGCACGGCCCTTATCATCTATCACTCTGCCTATGATATAATCTAAAATATTCTTCGGTTTACGCCTAAATAATCTCCGTTCCCGTGGTCCCTGCACACGTGGCAGCAATAATCGAAATGTCAAAGTGTATGGTCCTTGGTACAACAGTTATGAGTTGGTAGATCAGCCTGTCATTAGTTTAAATGTTCTATTTGGCTGCAGTGTGCTTGATTCTCAGTTAAAGTAATGCCAGTCGAAGATGGTTGCGTTCTTCCGGCTAGCGTTTTTCCTTGAATAGCAAACAGCCACTTGGATTTGCAGGTGAATAAAACCTAAACGTTGTCTTCAGTACCCGCTGCGTCGATAATTAAATCTAACTTGTCTCATTTCTTGACTCGCGAATGATTTGCAAAGGCGGCTGTATCTGGTGTTACTGAGAACGACCTTCACCGCTTTGAGATAGCCGTAACATGAGGCCCAGCACAGCGAAGTACATCCATGCTCAGTCGAAGCTTCCACATCTTCAATTCTTAAATTGTCAGCTTATCCGCTTCTATGGGAAGAGTTTTCGAGCCCTGGTAGATCGGCGTCGATCCGTCAGTTGTGGTTTCCTACGTAGCGCGTGATCAAAGACAACCGTAAAGACAATAGCACGCAAGTGTGTACATTCCACACCGCTAACTAGTAATTTATCAACTTTATGTAACAGTCCAAGATTATTATACTTTTAAATAACTATGGCGACCACCTTCTAATGAGGAATAAATCTGAAAATCTTCATAGCTTCGCTTCGTTACTAGCCTGACTAAGGTCTTACCGTACTGAAGTAGGTAACGGGCTGACGGGTGTTGCGAGTTCCGTCATGGGCTCAATAGGGGCAAAATAGTGGGTAGGCTTTCTCTATCGTGTGTAGTGTTGTAATCGTTCTAATCAGTGACATAGCATTATCAGTCGATGTTACCGAAGGGCTTGTAGCGGTTTGACCAGGCTTGGGTCCGGAGGCTCTCAGTGGCTAAGAATCCTTGCGTGTACCCAGCCGAATGCCTGTCAATCAGAGAGATTCCTTTCTCTCTCTCCAATAACGGCTTGTTCGTGCTGACGAAATCGTAGAAAAATTGGGGATGGGCAGGCATTCGCATAGATCCCTCGCTCTGCAGTCCAGTAGGAGTTCGTGGAAGAGTGCAACAGCCTGTCAGTCCTGTACACTAAATTTTCCCCTAGCACTAACGTTTTGCATAACCGTAACCAGCCGAGAAGAGGGGAATTCGCCTGGGAGCCAATACCTCGGTCTCCAGAAGGGATAAATGGCCGGATAACGAATTTGTCCTGGCCCCCGCGCGCCAATAAATATGTTCAAGGTAGCTTTGGAAATGTTCTGCACACGTTGCCAAAAGCACTTCATCAAATCAGTAGTGTATTCACCTTAAAGATGTCCGGCGTTAACCCCACAGCTTCGGCGACCGCGAGGACTGACCCACCGAGTTCTGGGGCCGAGGTAGCTCGCGCCGCTGCAAACGAGAGCAATGCTATTGAGGCCGACGTGGTACGCTCTCTGACAAATCCTTAATGCCCCGCTGGTATGCTAATTATGGCTTCTTAGCTCACAGATGATGGCTCCTCAGTGAGCGGCGTGAGTTTGTCCAACATTTGGATCTCATCATCGATTGACTCGATATGGGCATCTGCATCTAAAGGTGAAATGGCTGATTCAATGTTGCAAAGGAGAGCTTTGTGCCCTCGACATCCAGCATCGCTACTTCAATTCTCGAATATCGGATGGAGAACGGTCGAACTTACCATAAATATAAGGATGGAAGTACGTTTATCAAAACAAGATTTGTGTGATAATGCTCAGCAAGACTAACCAACCCATCCATGCAGAATACTGGGCGCCTAATGATGACAGAGAAAATGAAAGACTGGGTACGTTAGCTCATGCAGACGACATTCCAAGTCGTGATTCAAGTTGACCTTGACCTTCTCCATCACATTAGACTTGGTACACAATCTATACCTCCGAACTTTCAATGACTGTCTCGGAACTGCGCCACCCAATGAGCCAGACTCTAAGGTCGGGCGGGTGCTTGATGTTGGAACAGGCACTGGCATTTGGGCTATTGACTTCGGTGATGAACATCCTGACGCTGAAGTGAGTTAAATCGTTCCAAGTCAGCCGTTCATGGTCGCGATACTGATTACGAGATAGGTGATTGGTGTTGATTTATCAGCTTCTCAGCCCAGCTTGTATGTCACCTGTCCGAAGCGATGCTTTTCCAATTACCACAGAATTATTAATTATGTGATACTGTAGCGTTCCACCAAACGTAAGATTCGAAATCGACGATATTGAGGAATCATGGACTTTCTCACAGCCCTTCGACTATATCCACAGTCGGATGATGAAAGGAAGCATCCGAGACTGGAAGAATTTCCTCCAAAACTGCTACGAGTTAGTACTCACATAAATCTCGAAAATATAAATTGCTAACCAGTCTACCACCAGCAACCTGAGTCCCGGCGGATATCTGGAGCTCAACGATGTAGATGGCTTCCCTGTTTCGGATGACGGCACTTTAACCGAGGACTGTAGCCTTATGAAGGCATTCAGCTTGTGCTATGAAGCGCTAGCCAAGCTTGGGTCACCCTTTGAAGAGTTTGGTCATTTCGAAGCGGTTATGGCCGAGATTGGATTCGAAGACATTCACGTTCGGCGGTTCAAGTGGCCGACAAATCCGTGGCCGAAAGACAAGAGACTTAAGGAGCTTGGCATGTGGAACTACGAGAATCTGGCTCCTAACCTAGACGGACTCCTAATGGCACCCTTGACGCGAGGCTTGGACTGGAGCAAATCGGAAGTTCACGTGCTTGCGATGGAAGCTCGCAAGGACTTTGCTGATAGGAGGATCCATGCTTACTTCAACATGTGAGAAAACTCCGCCCTTTTCTATCTCAAATTCCCCATCTCCTCGTCTCTTACTTCTTAATGTCTTTTACTAACTTTTCCAGCTGGTCGATCCATGGAAGAAAGCCTTTGAAGGGCAGCGAGCGCAAATGAAGAGTTAAATAGGCTTCCATTTTGAGGACTCCGCGTTCAATATGAGGATATATCGGAATCACTATTCTTTGAGTTAGAAATCAGCTACCATTCTCTAGCCTTCGGCTTGTAGACTTTTTACAGAGCATAAAACTTTTCAGATTCTTAGTTACTAGGCCAAAACCAGATATAGCGACGAACAGGCCAATGAAAACAGTTATGTGTTTGAAAAATATTTCGAGATTGTGTTGTTTGGTGTAGATTCTATAGTTAGCTTAAAATACTACTACAAGTCCCTTGTCTAATTCGACGCTTACAACGGCCATGTTAATTTTCTCTTCTTATTTACCATGTAAAGCTTGCCATATACGAGAGGCCCTGAGATCAAAGGTTTTGTGACAACGGTTTTCAAGATTCCATCACATGCCATACACCCAAAACAGTAACACTTTTAAATACTTACTTAGTATTGTCTCAGACAATACCAAACCTAATGATACTATTAGTTGGGTGACGACAGTGCGCCCTTGAAATGGTTCTCCCTCAACTCCTCTCGATGACTTCAGTCCCACTCCACTCCACATTCGATTAAACTTCAATGCCAAGCTAGTCTACCATTAAAATGTATACAATTTCCTATACTCGGTTTCATGAGGGCAGCCTGCTCAGGGACAGGGAAACATAGGGATCTTAGCGAACACAGAAGTGCAATGCAAGGGGGATCTGTAGGTTTCACAGGGGGTGAAACGGAATTCCGTTCGTCAATAACAAATAACAGTAAATTGGTTCTAATCGATGGTTCATGATAGTTGAAAGTGGTGTTGTTGACTAGAAGGTGGGGATATTCCCCCTTGGCCTGTCACGTGGGTCTGGGAGGCTTGGGCCTCTCAGCCTGGCGGGCGTGTGGCTGGAAGTGCTATACGACTCCGTATTCTAACTATCGCAATACTAGAAACTCTCTTTTTATAGTGTTAAAGCGGTTGGAATACGTTATCCCTATATAGTTCCGTCTCCTCGTTAATTCGGCCTCCTATCCCTACTTTCTCCCGTAGTTACGGTCTTGTTACCTATCCCTCTATACGTATCGTTATCGTGTTGCTATTAACGAATCTCTCGAAGGCTTGATTTAGTTTGCTCTTCGTAAGGGTATTAGCAGGGTTGTCTTCGCTGTTAATCTAACGAATTTCTTATAGTTCTCGTCTTTCGTACGATTGTCTTAACGCTATGATATCGATTATAAGTCGCTTTTCTTTAGTAGTACCTAGCTTTACGAGATACTTATATAGCGAATAAGAATCGGTATAGATAACTATCTAAATCGTTAGTAGGTTAAGGTAGTTAGTAATTATCGCTAGGGTTATAGCGAAGGCGTAGGCTATATCGACGCTAGCGACTATCCCGTAGATCTCTAACGCTAATACGCTATAGGTAACTTGTTTACTCTTCGTAGAGCTATAATAAACGAGGTTACTATAAATCGTAAATTCTCTATTATTACTATTAGAGGAAGTATCGTTAGCTAGGATGATTAGAAACCCTAATTAGGAGGAGAGGTCGTAGTTATTAGCAAACGACTTGTTAACGAAAACGAATAGCTTAGCTATTATAAGGTTAAGTAGGATAAACGTTATTCCTCGGTTAGGCGATTCTATTTACTATCGAATCCGTTGATTTAGTACTTTTATCGCTTCTAGCAAGGGGTCTTAGTATTAGGTAGTAGTAGATAAATCGAAACAGGCCTCGGGTTAGTAAATTGACGCGATATACGCCCCTCTAGCGCGTTGTTCGACATATTGCTATTTTAGGTTAGGTTTAGTAGTCTTAATATATCGTAACTTCTTAGCTTATCCCTTTTGCCTTAAATTAATCGAATTATCGGTTAATAGCGCGATTATCCCTCTATTAAATTAGAAGGGTTTGTTAATTATAAGGATATTCTTCGCTTTTGCCGTAAAAGCTGCTTTTTCTAACTATTCGTCTTCTAATTATAAGAACGCCTTGTCTAACAAACCGAGGGTATCGTCGGTTTACATGCCGATATAGCTAAAGTATAGATTTTCGGTAGATAAGATTAATAAGCATAGATCGTATAAAGAAGTAACTATCTAGAGATTCTCTCTATAATGCTTATAATACGTTGCCTACTAGTAGGTTCTAGCTTCTGCGATTCCGTATAAAGGCTTTATAACCTTTATAATAGTCCCTTTTAGGTACTAGTCTTGAATTTGCTTCGGTAGGTAGGCGAGAATAGTACGATTAAGCCTTATAGAGGATTAAACGTAGGCTTATATAATATCTCGAAGCTATAGTTATTTCCCTTCTCGTAGGAGTAACGGGGTAATTAATAGAATTAGCCGTTAACTTGCTTGCTAAATCGTTAGCAATTAGGTTAATATAGCCTTCTTGCTATCGTCGGCGTAACCTTATATTATAAGTCTCGATTTCTCGTAGGGTTTGGTTGTTTTACCCTTGACTTCGTTAACGATACGAGATCGGAAGATTCGTACGTTCTAATACCTTCTCTTATTAAACTAGGTAAATTTAAATACTTTTCTAGCGATAAGGCTATTAATCTCTTATTTAGTTAACTATTCGAACGGTTTGCTTAGTATAGTAATAATACCTTCTCGTCGTAGTTTGATTGCTAATTCTTCGTCTGCTTACTCTTTAATCGATAGGAATATTTATTAATAATCCGGGTTATCGTTAAATTCCTTTATAAAGTAGGCGATTAGCAATAGTCTCTTCTAGGGTCTGCCCAGGCGTCTTTTCGGTAGCTCCGGTACTTCTTACGGTTCGTCCGGTTTACTACCTCCGCTAGCAACGATAATTTCGTCGCATACTACTTCCTACTATAGTATCTTAGCTTCGGGTTCTTCTTCTTCTAGCATAGCGATAGAATTAGGTAGTTAATCAAGATCTTCGTAGTATAGTTTAACTACGGTAGACCGGAAGGTCTTCGGACTACGTAGCATATCGATAGTATAGGTTTTGCTATTTATAGCTACTAAAGTAAACAGTCCGGTCTAGCCTTTCTTTTCACGCTATACTCGTACTTATAACCGTAGTAGTAAATTAATAATTAGCCTTGTATTAAGGCTATTATAGGTAGCAATAGCTTCTGCTACCTATCGCCTTACGTAAAGTTCGCATACTTTGCTTATCGCCTTCTTAATCGCTTTCGCCTGCCTTATAACTTCGGGAGATAGTAGCAAATCGTTAGTAATTCGTAAGTATAAGCCGAATACTAAGAGTATTAGCACTATTCCGTTTAGGCTAGTAGTATCGTTAACTACTTTAACTACTATTTAAAGTATTAATTCTAGCGTAATTATTAGGTCTTCTGCTTTAATGATTTCGTACGCCTTCCTTAGAAGTATATAGTATCGTTTAACTTTCTTAATACTATTATAGGCTTTTATAAGAATTTCCTTGATTTTAATTACTATTCCTCTCGTTGCGTTTCGGAATTCTATTAAGCGGAAGTTTGTTCTAGCGTCGGTAACTAGCTAGTCTAGGGGTCCCTGATATATATCTATCTAGCAGAGGCGTAAGGCTTCCTAAGTAGCTTTCGTAGAAATATCCTTAAGGAACCAGGCGGCGTTAAACGCCGTAGCGGTATCGACGACGTAGAAGACCGGTCTATTACCTTTAAGGTATATTACGTTAGCGATAACCTTATAGTTAAATTCGTAATCGTCTCGTAATATAAATTTAAACTATGATAGCGCTAGTATATGTATTTAGCATCGATAGTAGACTTTCGATAGTTACTTAATTACCGTAATTTCAACTAGGTAGCTAGCCTTCTAGAGCACCTTGTATAATCGTTAAATAGATAGGTATCCGAAGCGACGGTAAACCCGTCGCAATTTAGCGTCTATAAGGTAGTTCTAAGCAAGTAGTTTCTCCTTATTAAGTAATAACCATAGGTAGCCTTATTTGCGAATAATAGGTACGACCTTGTTTCCTTAGATAAGGGTATTCGTAACGTTGTTAAAGTAGACCTTTAATCGGTCTATATCTCCTAGGCATATAAGGAAGGGAGTATTAGTCTTAATAACGTGAAATTTAACGCTTCTAAACGGCGTTAGTACTTTAGTAGTCCTTATAGACTCTAGTAGTATCCTATCACCGAATTTTACTATAACGCTGCTAGCCGCCTTAGTATTTAACGTAATTCCTTCGTAAATTTGTTATAAGGCTACGAATTATAAGTAGCTAGCGGTTGAGAATCCTGCTACGCCCGAGTCGGGCATAATCCCTTAGAAGTTCTAGGTAGAGTAGCATCCCTCGAGTGTAAATTGCGAAGGTAGCTTTTTCGGTTCTAGTTAGTTACGGAAGAGGTCTTCTTTCGTAATAGTATAGCGGGTTGACTAGTCTGCTAGGATCGTAGCGATCCTGTTGCTATTAATTGCTATTGTAGTGAAATAGGCGGTGACTTAGAATTGACTATCGCTACCGGTCTCTTCCTCTTCGTTACTTTTACTAGTTTGTTCGGTTACGTAGTAGTATTGCTAGGGGTCTTCGGCGGTAGGTTATAGGTCTAACCTGTCGAAACCTTCGTATTAGACGAGAAATTGGCTATATGCTGGAAGTGACGTATCTTAGGCATATTAGGTAGTTTTGAACTTCTCGTACGCTTTTCGTCTCTCTTTTGTAGTGTGTTTAGTTAACTAGCAGTTAGGTTTTCTATATACGTAGTACTTCTTAGGCGTTAGTAGTAATAGGGGTTTATTACGGCTTCTTCCTCGTAATGATCGACTTCGTAATAAACGACTATATCGTAAATAACGCCTTCGACCGTTAAAAGTTCTATCGGTCTAGTACTGCTTTAGTAGGTTAGCTACTATGTTGAATTATTGTTAGTTAAGACGGGTAGCTATCTCGATCGACGAGATTAATTAGCTACGAAGTCCCTCGTACGTCTTAGCTAGTATAAATAACGCTATTATATACTTTAGAATATCTCTATAAGCGTATAGAAGTTAGGTATAGAGGGATCGGTCGTTATAATCTTGTTATAGCAAACCAGGCTGAATCTTGCTTAATTTGTTATATAGTATGTTAAAATACTCCGATTTAGTCTTTCTAAGGTTATTGCGAATGATTTAGGGAAGAGTAGTTATATTCTACTACGTAACGTACGCTTATTGCCTTTCCCTAGTCTCGAAGTATGATTTTAATTAGTTGATTATAGTCTCGAAGTTAGGCTATAGGTTAATTACTTTAATCGAGGCGTAGAAGTAGGTTTTAGCTATTCCTTTTAGTATTAGGGGAAGTGCCTTGTTATATTAAGAGGTATAAATTCCTAGCATTCTATAGTAATCTACGAATACTAGCATCTTCTTTTCGAGTATATCGTATATATCGCTACTATATTTTATATCGTCGGGGTATAGTTTCGCGAATTCTGTTAATTGCTTTCCGATACGGTCTGTTAACTCGTATAGTTAGAAGTCTATTAACGGAGAGACCGTAGGATATAGCGGTCGGTACGGTAGTTACTACTATTATTATTCTTATAGAGGAGGTAGCTATAAGGTTGGTTCGACTCTTCCTCCTATACTATTAGCTACTATTGCCGGTCTCGTAATCTCTTCGTAGAATTCGGGGTCTTTTATTAAAGCCTTTAGGTTGCGATATCTCTTAACGCCTTGTTCGAGTTCTTAAGGTAACTAATAGTAGAATTCTTCCTTTTTAAAGGCTAATGCTACGTTTTTCGAGATTTTCTTACTATCTATTTCGACATAGACGCCGTTACTAATTAAATAGTCTCTAAAGAATCGTAAGATTAAGGGAGGTATATTCTAGAAGTCTTCTTCTAACTAGTCGGCGAAATCGAGAGAAACTTCGTTCTATAGCTCGAGGCTTATAAGATTCCTCTTCTTATAAGTCTTAAGTAGGAAACCTATATAGGAACCTAGTTGCTATAGGCTAGCGTTTGTAAGGTCGATTGCCTAGTTACCTTATACTGCTAGATCGATTATACTTTCGATTCTCTATAAGATAGGGACTATTAATTAGCTTTTAGTAGTAACGCTGCTTATAAGCGATCCTTCTCGTAAATTTCGCTCTATTCTGATAGTATAAAAGGATTACTTTTATTTAGAATCTTAAATTCTAATCTTTAATAGCGTTAGCTACGATTAGTATAAAATATAGGCCTAGAAGTAGGAGTTAAAAGACGATTCGGGATATTACGATTCTAAAAGGAAAGAATCGTAAAATCGGGGATTTTCGTCGGTTTATCGTTTATTTCCGTTAGCGCCGTTCTTACTAATATTCTCGAGGGGTATAAAGGTATATATAGGTCTCGAATTAGTAGGGAGAAAGTTCTACCGTAGATTCTCTTATAAATCTTTCTTTCTCGCTTTAGGCTTTGCTCCTTACTATTAGGAAGTTTAGAATCTAGTAGATAGTTAGCTTTATAACGCTTATAACTATATATATTTCTCCTAAGCTATAGCCTCGGAGGCGTATACGTATAGCTATATAGGCAGATTACTACCGGTAGTCTTTACTTGCCTTTCGGCGTATTCTTCTTCTAGTAGGGAGGTCTCTTATAGCAGGCGCCTCGCGGTTAGCACCTCGTCTAGGGATTTATTAAGAAACTAGCAGGCGCCTCGTAATTAGCACTGCGCGTAGGGGATAGTTATAGTTAGGGAAGTTATTATCTTTTATAGGATTTATAAATCTTCGCCTTTATAGCGTAATGTTAGAAGTATAAGTATATTATACTTCTATTTTACTTATTTATCCTATTTAGTCTTATCTAAGACTTAGTAGGACTTACAAAAGTAACTAGCTAAGAATGGCTGCTTGCTAGTTTAAACATATGACATTCAGATCCCTATGGAATACTCTCTTTAACCTTATCTAAAAGTCTATTTAGTTAAAGAAGATTCTAGTCTGATTTATAAGCTGCTTTATAAGCTAGTTGACGTATATACTTACGTATACTAAACCTAGCTTATAGCTTCCTATATTAGCTATTATAGGCGACGTTATACTACTATATAACTAGCCTAATTCTCTCCCTTAGCTAGCTATTAGTTCCTCAACCAACTCAGCTTCAATATAAGCCTATACATTCTTTACTATTAAAGCCCTACTTCATAAGTACAAGTTCCCTTACTCTAATACCCTGTTATAAGGATATCGTACTATCTACGAGATTCCTACCTACCGTTCCAACACGTAAAGAGGTTAGAAGACTATCGATTCGGTAAGTCTCTTCTTCTAGTAATTAAAAACGCGTAATAGAACGCTCTTGCTAGCGATAATTAGCTATAATTAACCTTATCCCGCCTAGGGTAAGCATAGCAGTCCCTAGGTTACTCGAATAATCGGATTGCTAGTAGATTCGAGGAAAAGAAGCTTTCTTCTACTAGTTTCCGTAGATCTTAGTTACTCTCGCTTCTTCTCTCGTTAGTACGAAATCCTTACTTTTACCTAGGCTTAGGTATCTAGTTTAAGAAGTCGTCTCTTCTAGTATTAACCTTACTAATCTACGGTTTATCCGTAGCAAAGTAGTAATTATAAAGTTAACCAAATTAATAGCAATTATAAGGTTTACTACTAATCAGTATAGGTTTCACAAGGGGTAAAACGGAATTCCGTTCGTTAATAACAAATAACGTACATGATAAGCGAGTGAGACAGACAAGCGAGTGAGACAGTAAACCAGACCTTCGCGACAATAATATCGAAATCTATAACAAGAAATCTTAGATTGATTAATACTACTCGGATTCCTGTTCTTCGGATGTTTCTGTCGAATTGAGGGTTCAGAACGATGTGTATTCCGTTATGTGTGTAACTGTCTAAGGGCCCTTCAGGGGCGCGTAGGGAAGGGGGTATGCCACCCCCTGACCCGGGGCTCGGCGCTCGGAAATAGTGTTCTGCCGAGCGTTGCCGAAGCCTCGCGTAGCGCGCTCAATCTGACACACCCCCTCAGGGGAGCGCCGAATCGGGGCTTCCCTGCCCTCGAGTCGCCCTCTCCCCCTCGTATTTAGATTACACTGCGTTCAGAGCTCTTCTTTCGCTCATCCCTCGGCTGGTAGGCTTTCTACTGCGCTGTCTCCTCTCCTTCTGCTAAGAAGACGTTTTATACGTACAACTCGCGTACCACAGCAAGTCACGAGCTTCCCGTGGCACTCGGAGCGCGCTTCTCGTGGTCTTCGACCGCCCAGACGTCTTCCTGCGCGGCTCTCTTGGCCCACGCTTCTTCGTCTTCTTCTAATTCGCGTCTCCGATTCCGCTTCAGGAGCTCTGCCTGTTCGCTCATACGGACCTGCTTCCGGAACTCGCGGAACTATAGGAGCGCGAGACTCTTCGTCAGACCGTCTGCCATAAGCTCTGACGACGGTGTGTATGCCACGGATACGCGCTTCGCTACGACCTCTTGTCGTAGCCAGTGGTTATGAATATCCACGTGCCGTAAGCGCGTCTGAAAGGTCACTAGATCCGTTGTCACCAGTCGAACGGTCTGTAAGTTGTCGCATTGGATCTGAATCGTGGGTACGCTGCGCTTTTCTACGGGAAACGTCGCTTCCAGCGCTTCTTCTGTTAGAAGGTATACGTTTAGCGCGGAGATCAGGCGGCTTGCAAATAGCGCTTCCTTTGCTGCTTGCGAGAGGGATAGCAGCTCAGCTTCCGTCGTAGATGTAGTGACCGTGGCCTGTTTGTTAGCGCGCCACGCAACGAGCCCGCCGAATAGCTTCATAGCGAGCGCCTAAGAGCTCTTCCGATCCAGGGAGTTGTCTACGAAGCTGGCATCTGACGCCACGATAAGCGTGTCTTCCTCGCTGCCGGGTTCGCAGCCGTATTCGAGGCAGAGGTAGCGGGTGGAATAGAGGTAGGCGAGCGCTCTGTCCGCTGCGCGTTGGTGTTTCGGCCCGGGATTCTGGTTGAAGCGCGCGAGACGGCTTGCCGCGAACGCGACGTCGGGTCTCGTCATTATTACGGCGTATAGGAGAGTCCCGACCTTCTTCTGGTACTGGTTAACTTCCCACGCGCTGGCCTCTCCTTCGTAGGGTAGAAGCTCCTCCAGGACCATAGGAGTATACAAGCGCGCTTCAGAACCGTCTTCTAACGCGTTAGCTGTGGGTGGAAGCAGCCGCCTCACCTTCTCGGCGTAAACTGCCTGCGAGAGCCATAATCGGCGTGTGGCTCGGTCTCGTATGACCTCGATTCCTAAAAACCACTGGAGGTCTCCGCCTCCTTCGAAGTGGTAGCGCTTCTGTAGCTCAGAGACCTCCCGCAGCGCTGCCTCCTTGCGCGCGCGGGGAAACGCCAGTACGCAGTCGTCCACGTAGAAGAAGAACATGACTTCGCCTTTTTGCCAGCAGCAATTCTCGCCTGCCACGCGTTCGAATCCACGTTCTACGAGTCCCTTTTCTAAGTGGCGTTGCCACAGGAGAGGGGAACGTCGTAGGCCGTATAGCGCCTTTCTCAATCGCAGGATTCTTCCTAGAACGCGGTAGCCCGGCGGAAGCTCCATATAGACGGTCTCGTCTAGATCCGCGTAGACGAAGGCGTTTACCGCATCGTATTGTAGTAATTCTAGGTCAAAGCGCGCGGCAACGGCCATCAGAACTCGGAACGACATACCTGCGAGCGTCGCGGCGTACGTCTCCCGCGCGTCTCTTGCTTGCTGGTCTCCTCGAATAACCAGGCGTGCCTTGAATTTGGCTAATCGCCCGTGCTTATCAAGCTTGTAAGTGTATACCCAGTGGCATCCGAGGACCTGGTAGCCGCGCGAGGCGCTTCTTGCGACCTCTTCCCACGAGCGGGACTCCTTGTGCCCGTCTAGGTGGCTTCTTTCAGCGCGCAGGAACTCCTCCCGGAAAGGGTAACGTTGCAACTGATCGTGAGACGTTGGCAAAGGGGCCAGATCCCTCCAGTAGGCGCCTTTCTTTCGGCCTTGCGCTTCCACGCGGGAGCGGAGCTCGGTCGGCGCCAACGCAGTCACCATATCCCGGTTACCGCGCGCTCTGAGATCCTTCGTCTCTTCTGCAAGCGTCTGGCTCCGGTCTCTGTAGGAGCTGGGCTCACTTGTCTCAAACGCTTCTACCACGGAGCAACCTTCCTGGGATTCACTTGCCTCTTGCTGACCTGTAACTTGGTCTTCCAAAGGGCCTTCATCCGCGCCGTCATTCCCGGATTTCACGGTGAAGGTTGCCTCGGAAACCCTCTCAGGGGCGCGCGGCTAGCCAGGCACAACGCGATCCCTTCGTGGGCCGTCTTGACGTCTAGGGTTTTGTTTATAAAGCGTCGTTCCAGCTAGAAAAGCAGCTTTGTACGACGTCCGTAGTGTGACCTTCTTATAGATGGGCTTCGTAGCGGGGATATCCCGCGTATGCTCTTCTCCCCACCCCCTCACGTCGAGCTCGGTAAGCACCGCGAGAAAGGATGTAGGAGGCGACGCCTCCGGCGTCGGAAAGGGCTCAAACCGCGCTCCCGTGTATTGCCCTTCTACTTGCTTAGGCGCGTCCGCTTTAGCGTTATGGTGCCCGAGCGCTTCTGCTGCTTCCAGGGCAGGCTCACCGGGATCGGCGTGCTCTGAGACTTCTTCTGCTTCTTCGTTAGCGCTTTGTATATAGTTTTCTGAGCCTGTGGTCTGTCTGATCAGCTCCTCTATGCGCTGCTGAATCGCCTGCAGGTCGAGGTAGTTGATTTCTTCCACTAGGGACCTGACGTTGCCGTCGAAGTGGCATTTCTCGTTAAACACCATATCGCGCGTGGTAAATACTTCACTACGCAGGGGATTCCATATCCGGAACGAGTTGCTTGATGTGTAGCCGACTATGTAGCCTATCCAGGCACGCGGAGCGAGTTTCTGGCGCCTGTTGCGCTTTCCTGACAGTGTGGTGAACCACGAGGGGTCGTTGAATACATGGATCGTTGATCCAGAGTCCAGGATCGCCGATCTGAAGAGCTCGTATGTCTCCGGAGCGGTGTGGAAGGCACTCGGGACGGTCCCCTTGCTTCGGCCATATAGTCAGTGTTCTTCTTTCGCTGGTTCTCTCACCTTCCTGACACGGTTTGCGAGCGTTTCGTCTTTTCTCATCCGCTCGTCGAGGTTCGCGAGAAGCTCTCTACTCGGCTCGTACCACTCAGGGCGCTCCCGTTCGTTGACGAGCCAGCACTTCGAGAGCGGGTGAGGTTTCAGGCACGCAGGGCACAGCCGGTTGCCCTCGCTCTCCCCATCGCTTCTCTTCCGCGACCGGTCTCTGCAAGCTCCTCCTCTGGAGCGCGTGTTTCCTCGAGATCTCCGGCTGCTTCTCATTGGTACCGTTAGGCGCGCGGGGGAAGTTCGTTCCCCTTCCTCTTCGTTTCTTGAAGTGGCTTCTGTGGTAGGACCAAACGCTCCGCGTCCGGCCTGCTTCTTCGGGTTGTGTTGAGAGGTTGTTTGTAGGAACCGCCGCGCGTCTGACAGGACTTCTCCAACGCTCAGTTTCTCGCTTTCGACGCGTTCGTCCTTGACGGTCTGGTATGAGAAGATCCATGTATCGGCGTAGCTGTGGCTCACGGCGTAGGTGAATTCCGGGAACCATATACTGGGGAGCTCGGTACCCGGGACGCCCGCCGCTGCTGCTTCGTGGATTGATTCTTCCCACTTCGTAAGCCACTCTTCCAGCTCTTTCTTCGTTGCGAGTCGCTTCCGCTCCGGTATCTGGAGCGCTCTCTTATATGCTTCGCTCGCGGCGGTGCGTCTCTCACGAGTGGTTATCCCTACGCGTTCCTTCAACGCGTAGACCCAGCGGTCCAGTGCGCGGTCCGCGGTACAGCAGCTCTTGAGGAGAGAGGTGCTGACTGTATCTCGGACCCAGTCTTCGAGCACGCGAATCCCTTTCAGGAACGCTTCATGGGTCTTGGAGCGCTCCATATATTCAGACCGACGTTCCTTATACAGGGCGAGATTGGCTGCCGAGAGCTCCTCCAGCGCTTGTGCGCGCGTTTCGTAGTCGGCGTCTTCGTTTAGCACTTCGGCTTTGCCGGTCTTGGGGTGATCGTATATTTCGGGGCGCTTCGGCCGCTCCATCCGCCGCTCGAGACGCGTTTGTCCCGTGTTTAAGGCGCCTGGGCGCTGGGGATCGATATATCGCCAGAGGTCGTAGGACTTGGCCTTCGACTGCAGCTGGTCGATCCATAGGATCCAGTCGGCAGGGGTATTCAGGGTGATTTTCGCGCTTGAGGAGGACATTTCGACGATAGGGGTTCAATTGGGCGCGTAGAAAGGGCTTTCGTATACGTAGAATAGATGGCTAGCGGCGTTTAACGTAAACGCAGCACGTATCAGACTGTTAATTGTCGAATTGAGGGTTCAGAACGATGTGTATTCCGTTATGTGTGTAACTGTCTAAGGGCCCTTCAGGGGCGCGTAGGGAAGGGGGTATGCCACCCCCTGACCCGGGGCTCGGCGCTCGGAAATAGTGTTCTGCCGAGCGTTGCCGAAGCCTCGCGTAGCGCGCTCAATCTGACAGTTTCCTCAATAAATTGACATGTTCTCGCGTTGTGGCCTGTATTCCCGCATACGCCACACCGACGATGAGTCGTCTCAGACCTCACTTTGCGACCACTACTCCGTCGCGTTTCCTCTTGTAGTTGCGTGTCTGCCTCTCTTTGCGACTGTATATCCTCTCCAGTAGATATAGTAAGACTTCCTCCTTTCTGTAGACGTGTTTTCTTAGCCCTTCGACGCCGACTTAATATTGCATTCTCCTCTCGAAGGATTTGAACCTCTGACTCTAGTAATGCTACCCGATGCCCTAGTCCTTCTGTCCCTCTGGCTAGCTTACTCACAGCACTATAAATTGATGCTGGAGAGCTGCTTCGGTGGCGTGAGATTCGACTCTTAATAAAAGTAGACTGTGATCTTGCTTCGCTTGGGTTGCTCGGCGTCCTAGAGATCCAAGGGTCTGGTGTCTGAGGGACCCCCTCCTCAGGCGTTGGCGTTCGGAACTTTACATCCAGCTTTGAGAGAACACTTTCTGCATTCAAAGGGACAAGTCCAGCTCCTCGGAAACCTCCCTGGATATTTTTCCTCGTAAAAGACTGCTTAAAAGCTTCGTGAAATGCTGCAAAGAAATCTTCCTTCGAGATATGGGTTATGCCTCGCCGCATCTTATTCTCAATTTGCCGACCGTAGGCATTCTTTAACGGCTGAAAACAACCAACATCTAAGGGTTGAAGTAGATGAGACGAGTGAGCCGGCATGCACAGTGTAATAATGTTGTTTTCTTGACAAAAGAGCTCGAAGGCTGCGGAGTGGTGACTTTCATGACCATCAACAACGAGGAGGCGATATTTCCCAGACGTACGTGGTTTTGTATAAATGTCGAAGTGTCTGATCCAGTCAATACCTCTCTCGTTTGTTGTCCATCCATTTTCAGACGTTGCAATAGCCCAATCGCCCGGAAGAGAGGTTTCTGTATACCAGCTTGAGAGGTGATACTGGCCTGCAACGATGATGTATGGCGGGATGCTCTCCCCTTGGGAATTAATAGCCTGGATAACTGTAACCCATTCCCTATTGCCAGGCTGTGTCATCTTCGTATTTGAACGCCTTTCAGCACTTGTAACAACCATTCCAGAAGCAATAACGCCCATCATAAAGCCGGTCTCATCAAAGTTGTAGATATCAGCATCAGCAATACCATACTTCGCAATTGTATTCTTCACAAGCGAAAACCAGCCACGAATCACCTCTGGATCTTCGCATTGAGCTCTCTTATAGTCATACTTGCGAAAGAAACGCGTCCTAAGCTGTGGTTGTCGCTTGACGAAATTAGAAGCCCAGCGCTTCCCAACTGGAGGCGCGTCGCGCTCTGCGAGAAGTCGATTGGCCATTTCTTCCACACCACTCAGCCGGGGAGGAAATGATCGCGCATCTAGGTCGAGAATATACTCAACTATTGTCTTCTCTTCTAAATCTGATAAATTCCGTGAATTAGGCATGCTGTCGCGTCGTGAGACTATTCCCTTTAGTCGCCGGCTTAATGTTGCGTGACTGACTGTATAGAGTGCACCTGCGGCCCGAGCACTAAGTTTTGGGTCATTTCTCATTGCTTGAAGGGCAATTTGTAACCTTCTTTCAATACTAGCTGATTCCATGATTTATTGTAGAGGAAAAGGTGCCGGTCGCGTCAAGGTGCGACGGTCGCGGTTTACTGTCTCACTCGCTTGTCTGTCTCACTCGCTTATCATGTACGTTAATAGTAAATTAGTTCTAATCGATAGTTTATGATAGTTGAAAGTGGTGTTGTTGACTAGAAGGTGGGGATATTCCCCCTTGGCCTGTCACGTGGGTCTGGGAGGCTTGGGCCTCTCAGCCTGGCGGGCGTGTGGCTGGAAGTGCCACACGACTCCGTATTCCAACTATCGCAACAGGATCTGTCGTTACACAATCTCACCAGTTTTTTTGACTGAAACAGTTGTCAAGCACTCTATCCCAAATGAAATAGAAGTACAATATATGGCTATTTGTCGTCCCGTGATGTTAGTAGATTCGACATAGTAGCCAAACTACCTACCTTATGTAGTGGAAATCTTTCGTTCTATCCTAAAGGATATAATACTCTTATAGACATTATGAGACCTCAAGCTTTTATCGGAGCCTTTTCCTTGCTTGGAATCGGGATAGCAGCTGCTCAAAACTGCACATTCCAATCGATTACACCGTCAACCAACCTTGTTTGGTGCCGCTGCGAGGGCCCTTTCTACTGCGCCAAGCTCGATGTTCGGTAACCCAACTGTGGCCACTCTCGCACTCACTGACCCTTTGTGCAATAGGTACCTCTTGACTATTTGAATCCTCAGCTCGGCCGAGCCTCGGTCCCGTTAATGAAGCTTCCCGCAGATCCGGCTTCCCAAAATGGTCCATACCGAGGCATGATCCTCATTAACCCTGGCGGTCCAGGTGGTTCCGGAATCGAACTAGCCCGCAGCAGTGCAATCCAAATCCAGCCTATCCTAGGCTCAAACTATGACATCGTAGGTTTCGACCCTCGCGGGATTGGGCTCAGCGAGCCGCGAGCAAGCTGCTCGGCAGGAAACTCTACCCGTCGACGAAAGACTCGGAACGTGCCTCGCCTGGGAGACGCATTCTACAACGAGCGTATCGAAATCTACAAGGATATCGGTGAACGCTGCCAAGCGACCATTGGCGCCGATACTGCTGCCGGACCACACATGACAACCGCCACAACGGCACGCGATATGCTCAGCATTGTCGAAGCCTTTGCCGCCACCCCTGATGGTGCCCGCGCGGCACTAAACTCCAGTCAGCTGAACTATTACGGTATCAGTTACGGCACCTTTCTTGGACAGACCTTCGCGTCAATGTTTCCCGACAGAGTTGGACATGTTGCGCTCGATGCCGTCCTCAGCCCCGAGGGTTACCAGGAGAACGGCACATATCCCAACATGAATCATGTCGATGGTATTCTAGGGGCATTTTTTATTTATTGTCACGCCGCAGGGCCAGGCTACTGCGCCTATTATACTGGCGACACCCCCATGAATATCTTTGAGCGGTGGAACGCGTCATTCTCGCAGCTTGATGCTCGTACAGCAGAAGCCGAGGGTTGGGAGAATGCCACCGAGATTGCATCTGCTCTCCGTGTTTTCAAAGACGGAATTCTTTCTGTCGCTATCGAACCGTTGGCTTCGTTTGGCATCATCGCACCCGCGCTTGTACGTTTGGAGCAGGCGCTGGATGGGGGCTACCTCGCTGTCTGGACAGAGCAGGTTAAGCTATTACTTGGGGAATCAGAAGATGCAGAAGTATTGGATGGAAATCTTGAGCAGAATATCGGAGTGACGTGCTCGGATCAGAAAAATAGGCTGTATGGGAAGTCGCTGGAAGATCTCCGCCCTCTGATAAAGCAGCTGGAAGACCAAAGTGTGATTGGGGAAATTTGGGCTACGGTGGCACTAAGTTGTACCGGATGGTCCATCAGCTCCAACGACGTTTTTGAAGGGCCTTATGGGGGCAACACGTCATACCCGTTGCTTTTTGTTAGCAACACATTCGATCCTACAACACCCATTGAGAAGTAAGTGATTCATGGTCCATCTATAACCCTATAAAAGTAATTAACCATGATGAACAGTGCTATTGCGAACGCTCCCAAATTCAGGAATTCTCGGAGGCTTACTATTGATGGATTGGGCGTACGTGGAAACTCTGATATCTAACGCAAGGCCCAACACTGACACTCTCAATTCAGCATAATTCCTTCACGACAGACAACCTGTGTGGCTTCGAAGCCATTAGGTCCTACTTCCAGGACAAGATGTGCGGCCGAGAGCACTATTGTCCGCTCGAGATTGGGCCGTTCGGCGTTCAGTTGAACGGAACGATTCAGCAGAACCTTGAAACTGCAGGGTTAGCAAGAATCCGCGACTTGTACTAGTGATGTCAAGTGAGCCGCCATGCTTGATACATAAAAAGGTGTGGGGAAAAAACTCTATAGATAAGCCCTCTGTAAGGCATGGCTTCAGGATGCTGTTTGAGTCGCAACCACTGTACTTAGTGCAGGCATCTGCTATTCTCATCAGGACGGCCTGTCTATACAGTTGATAAGGTACTAGGTACCTAAAATAAGATCTTGCTTTATCGGACTTGATGGATGTGACATGAATCCTGTGCCTAGACATCAACTACACCTCCACATACTGAAGATGACCTTTGCTCCTAGTTATACTGGTGCATTGATCATGTTCCACATCTCCAGGACGAATATGACCAAACAGGAAACCAAATCGGCCATCCGGCCATAGACAATCCCGATCCGGCTGTGAGTGGAGACACGCCGGGCCCGCGGAGCACGGCCTTTTCCGGGAGGCCCCGCCGAATGCCGAAACGGCAAGAGAAGGCTCACACGCTCATAGAAGACTAAGGTGCATCGAACTCCGAAGTCATCTCGGTGTTTATTCATCTGAGAATTTAACGTGTGGATGGTTCCGGATAGAAGTCAGTTCAATTCCTTGTTGTGTAAGTAGTGAAAGTACCGTACGCGGAACGCTGTGTGGGTCCCATTAAACAGTTAGTGGAACAGTCGCGAACACAACGCGCTGAGGACGCGCCGCGCCAGGCCGGCCAGCTGTGACACCACCAATGCGCATTACATTTCTTAGCGCTTAGAATCTTACCCTGCCTAGAATACTCAACCCACTCAACGACACAAACATCATCAGTCACGATTGCGCCGTATTCAATACTGTCACAAACATCACGTCATTTTCTCACAGAAACCCGCAACTTTCAACTCGAAATCAGAGCGACAAGATGGCCCTCAAGCGCAAGCGCTCCAGCTCCGAGCTCGTGGCTCTCTTCAACTCCCCCGCCCGCTCCGACTCGAGCATGGAATCCTTCGATTTCCCCGTCTCTCCCAGTCCCGTCTTCCCTCGTGCCTTCGCAGCTCCCTCGCATCTACCAAGCCGGACGATGAAGCGCTTCCGCGACAACAGGCCATCCGAGGATGAGGTACATCGTAAGTCGAGCTCATGACACCATGAAGCTCAGCTTCAATGTATGGCCAATGCTGACACCTGGCTCAAAACAGAGCGAACATTGAAAATGCTCTACTCAGCCCAGCAACAAAACCAGCACCTCGCCAACGAACCATCCCCGAGTCCCGTCCCCGCTCCTTCAGCGCGTAGCACCCAAAAGTCTCTGCACAGCTTCTGGAACATCAGCTCGGCAGCACCCAGTGTGACGAGATTCACGAGCCCATCTGTGGACCAAACGACACTCAATCCTGCGAGTTGCGAAGACTGCGGCGCGGGGCTGGGCTCGTCGGGCGACGCCGACAGTATGGAGGTTGACAGTTACGGAGGGGACAGCTCTTGCGGTGCGTGTGGGAAACACGTCTGTTCCCACTGCTCTGTCACGAACCTAGGGGAGCAAAGGAGGTGTCTGCAGTGCGCCGGACGAAAATCATGGGTTGCCGGGAGCGCACCTGGTTGGGCGACGTCGTCAGTTCGCATGTTCTAATGTTTTTGCAACAAGGCGATTTTGACTTGATGGTTTCGCTATACATGGCATTTTGGGGGCTTTTGCAATGCGGGTTGCTTTTTCAACCCTTGGTTCGCCTCGACGGCACGGCGTTTTGGGCGGCAGATTGCGTTTTAGGCGTTAAAATGTATGAGACGCAAAGGATACCAGGCATAATGAATTCAAGTATTTGCAGCAAGCCACTAGGCATTCATAATCATCTATAGACCAGCGACCCGAGAACTGATGAGGCGCAGACGCAGGAAAGTGGCGGGACCATAACTTTAGTTAGGGATCTATGATAGGCTGCCCGTCAGTCAGTCAACCATCTTAACGGGATGTTGAAGTTACAGCTTCAAAGAGTCGTGGGCCATTGAATTTCAAACCCGTCGCAAAGCCAGAAAAGTCATGTCACTGAGAACAGGCTCATCACTGCTAATTCCAAAGGTATGAATGCAACATTTTTAATTTAGTCGAAACGGCATGGATAAACATCCAGAAATTAGCATAAGGCTACCTCTTCGCTGGACAGCGATGGCAGCTGCACAGCCGCCCAATTGACTGACCAAATCTGCCAGCAAGCGAATCACAACACACATCTCGTGGCGCAGCTTGCATGCGCATGAGCATCCGCGCGGTTCTCTCTGAGAGGCCAAAATGGACGCACCAGTGCCGTGCTTCTCCGATCAAATCCAGTGTGCTGACATTCAGCCCCGGCTGGCAAGGCGTACAGTGACGGATCAGGCTGAGCGCACCATCAACATACGTCAAAACTCCTTCTCGTCGTGAACTTTTTTGAATCTTGATAAACTTCTAATCGTAGTACTTGTTTTTTGGAACACGCCGAATCCGAACTGTAGCCATGGCGGAAGCTCTCGGCCTTGCGGCAAGCATCATCGCCGTTGTCGACATGACAGGCAAGGCGGTCAAACTATCCGTTAAACTCAAGTACTTATGGAACGAGGTCAAAGACGTCCCCACAACTCTTTTGGAAAAGGCCGAGGAGCTCCAGGATATCGAAGAGTTTCTTCGTGAGGCTGAATGCCAGAGTACCCTTCAGCCGGTCCCTCACTCGGTTTGGAACGACAAGTTCATGCAGAAGGCTATCACGAAGGCCCGCGTTGCTATGAGCGATCTACAAGCAACCATAGAGGATTTAAATGCTCAAGTCACCGACAAAAGGAGGTACAAGCGCAAGTTTGCGACCGCCAGGGTGCTAATTCATAAGGATAGCTTGGAGGCAATGGAGCGGAAGCTTGATCGCGCTCTGAACCTCTTCAAGATGGCTCAGGGACTCTATTGCGCGTGCGTCATCACATATCTTGCCGACTTCAGAGAAGCTGCTAATGTTTCTGACAGTACAATGACCAACCTATGCACATCCGTCATCGTCCAACGTCTTCCGGAGCCAGTGAACACCTCGAATGGCGCTTCAGCTAATTCTGGTCGTGCAATCGAGGTACAAGACGCCAATCATCTCGAAACTTACAAGTCGGGTCTCGAAAAGGCGACCGTTCCGGATGCCACAACCATAACCCAAGGGCGGACCTTGATAGGTAGACTTCACTATGGCTTCGGGAACCAGAGCGGTCACATTTCTATGAGAACTCCTGACTGGCTTTGTCGTACTGTATACTCTCTCATGGCTAAGAGAAGCACTTCGGGGTGGCAGTTCAATCTGTCAACCTTTTCAGTCATTGACCTGTTTGACGAAGAGGTAATCGTGGCCCTAGAGAAGGACGATGTTGCCTTGATGAAGAAGTGCCTGTACGATAACAATCTGACTCCATTCACTCATAATTCTATTGGCCTAAACCTCCTGCAAGTTAGTTGTTTCGAATCTCCCCTTCCAAACCTGTTTCTTCCTCCAAGTATTGGGCTGACAAGCGGTGCTGACGATCTAAACAATAGTTGGCCGCTGACCACGTGTCCGTGAAAATTGCCAAATGGCTCCTGGAAATTGGTCTGCAACCTGGCTCCTTCAGCGAGTATCCCTTTCCTTGGGACAATCCGATAATCTTACCAGTTGTAGCAAGGACCCCCCTAGAAATTTTCTTATTCTTCACTGTTCCTAATGACGCCAGCCCTTGGGTAGAAACTCTCAAGCTCTTCGACACTTATGCGCCAGACATTTTATCCGTCGAAAGCAATCTCTGGCACTCGATATTGAGCATAGCATCTTTCCACCGCATCCGAAACATTGGGCAGATTCTGTCAATCGATTACCTATCCGTTGCATACCCAATCAGGATTCGTCATGCTGGCATTAGCATAAGTAGGGCATTATGGAGCTGGGAAGAGGCTCTGTGGCTAATCCCGGAACTTCGAGCTCCCACAAAGGAATTGCTCGAGGTCACTAGGTGCAACTGCAACTGGGGAGTGGCGGACTTGGTCGCCTCGGGCGTGGGGCTGCAGTTTGCCTCCCCAAAGAGCAAGCAAGGCGAGCCAGAAACTGACAGAGGCTTCAAACAAGCACTCGGCGAGATCACAAGGCTGGACCCCGAGGAAATTTCACCTCCTTGGGACAAGTTATCAGTGTCTCAATGGACTCCAATCTGTCATATGATAAGCCGTATGCTAGGCAACTTCGATAAGTGTCCACCAGATGTCGTGGAGCAAGCCTTTCAATCAGCAATCTGGACATGGGCGACGACACTTTATGAAAATGGCATGGATCTCCTGGAATATGGTCGTAGGGAAAAGGAGAGGTATCAAAACGGCGGTTTCTTCTCTCGGTGGGGAACAAACCCAAGTTGGTTGTGGGAAAGAGACCTTATTTATAGGAAAAGGTCACGAGTATTCCTGATTGCTATCCTGGGCATCACGTACGGGCCGCTACCGGAGCAATGGAGGCTGTGGTGGACACCAGCGGACTTGGGCTTTGCTGAAGAGTTTTGGAATATGGTTGAAGACCCTATTATCAACATCCCTGGGAGTTGGAACGATGATTTTTGTGACACCGCGGAGGATTATGGCTTATACACACCAGGGTTTGATTGGGATGAGAATATTGTGCTGCCGCGAATGATCTGGTCCGAATACCGGAAGATAAAGCCACCGGTTTGAGTCGAATCCCACCATTCACATTACATCCTCTCACTGAGGTTGCCTAGAAATACATTATCTATGCCTTTGACGTTGACGTCAACTGTTCTGGTTGAGGCAAATGGCAAAGCTGCCCAGAGGGGATCCACCCTGCAAATCAGCCACCTTGAATCTGCGCCGAAATTGTTTCCCCCGAGGTTTTTGTTCGCTAAAGAAAAAATAGCAACAGTTTCGGTTCTCGTGTTGGTTGACTTGACGTCGGCGGGTGCTCATTCAATCACGTTCCTGACTGGCTGCAACCCATGTAACTTAGCCGCTGAGGCCTCACGACAGGCCCAGCCTGCTGCGGCCTCTCATCTGCGCCACTGCTCTTTCTGAACGTATGTTTTACGCAGATCACCTTAAAGGTAATTTCGTGTACTATGCTTCTGTTTCTACGCATCTTTCGCCTTGTGTCTTACTGTTGATTGCTCTCCGCATGTTTTGCGGAACTCTGGTAGTCGGTTTTGAATCCCTCCAATTTGGCCGTATTCAAGATACATGCAACGATCCATGATCGACTTATGGCCGGCATGGAAGTCGTCTCAGGTAGCCTCGCCTTTGCCCAAATCGGGGTCAGCGCCGGCAAAGTCATCATCGACGCCATTCAGCTATGGGACCAAGTCAAACAGCTACCGAAGGAACTCCAAGTGCGCATTAGTAGGCTGGGATACCTCAGAGATGTACTCTCCCAAATCGAAAACGAGATCGAGAGGTGCCCAAGCCTGCAAGTGCGTCCAGCTACCCAGGGAAGCCTAGAACACATACGAAAGGCGGAGGCGGCGCTCTCTCACCATGTCGAAAAGCTCAATGCCAAAGTACAGCAGCCTAAAAGCAAGTTTAAGCGGCGTGTCAACTCACTAAAGGTTATAACTTTTGAAAAAGAGGAAATGGAAACGTTGGAAAAGGAGCTTGCCTGCGCCATGGAGCTGATGGAAATGTCTATCTCCTTGTTTCGTGTGTAAGTTGCGCACTCCAGAGTTATGATTACTGAACTGACATGTTGATTTAAGAGCAAAGTCTGAGTTTTCAGAAACATTCATAATCGATCAGACTTCGGCGCGAATTAATGAGTATATCATGGCTGGTCAAAACGACGCCATACAAAAGACGGCACAAGCAACCGTCAACTTGGTGAAGGCGGAGCTGCAACATTTAATTGAAACTAAATCAGTCAAGACCGAAAACACTCATTGTAATAGCCTGATATCGGCGAAAAAGGGCAGTACGAAAGGTAACTGGTCTTCATGCCCTGAGACTTTCTTATTCGGAAAATGCTCGTTCCGTCGCTCAAAGACCGATAACCGATGGACCGCCTCAGTCGAGATACCCTGGTCGCGACGTGTCGGTGAGCTATACTGGACAGGATGGCAATACCGGTTCCATACTTACAACATACGACCAAACACCTCTCCGGCGTTCAAAGCTGCTGAAAGGGGGGATGTAGCGGCTTTGATAAGTCTCTTCAAGACGGGTCAGGCGACGCCCTTCGATAGGAACGAAACGGGCCACTCGTTGTTATACGTAAGTCGTGATATCTCCATCGTTTCCACGACAGTAGCTGAAACAGAAACCAGCTCGCTGCGGAAAGTGCAAGGGTGGAAGTCTGCCGGGTCTTAATTAACAACGGTGCCATCGCCGACGACGAACGAGACATGCACGACTAGTAAGTTATCGATATCCACCCCCACCCCCCAAACCCAGATAATCACTTGTTAAAAGTCTCTAACCAACGTGTCTAGCAATCCAATAGACGCCATCATCATAGCCCGCCAGAATTTCACTGGAACTCATGATCCAAACCGCACGGAACTCATCAACCTCTTCCACTCCGCCGCCTCTGCCTCGGATACACTCACAACGGAGCGTCTCTTCAATTTCGTCCGAGAATTCTCCTATAGCGACAACTTCCTCCGAATCTACCTGTCCCAGTTCTTGAGAAATTACTCCCAACTCCCCGTTCGCGATCGCGCAGAGGCAGTCAGGCTGGGGTCTTTCATCGTCCGCGACAACATGACATGTAGACGCCTCCTCCATCCGACCAGCGAAGTCATCACACCCGCTGACGTGCGAGATTCCGTTAGGGGAGGTTTCTCGCTAGTCCACTCGGCTGCTATAACTCTTGGCAAGAGACTTGCTGACGATGCTCAGTATGACGCCAGGACCTTCCGCGCGCGGTCGTACACGGTACTCTGTAGCGATTTCGTCTCTGATATTGTACGGGCAGCAGGCGCCAACGACCTGAATGGCGTGGAGACGGTCGTGCCGTGGGACCGCTTTCACGTACCAGTCTGGAAAGGCACGCCCTTGATCTCCCTCATAGGCGGGGCGCTCTGCCGTCTCTCGTCTAGCGTGCCCCCTTCTCAATGGGACCTCATCTTTCAGATGGTATTGCGACAGTGGCTACAGGACTTGGAGACTGCGGGCGTGGATCTACTGGAATACGGTCGACGCGAAGCAATGGTCCAAAAGTTCTTGTGCCCAGAAGTGAAGGGCGCTTTCGACAGTGATGCGATCATTGCGTCCCGCAGTGTAATCCGCAACCAGCTGCTGGATTGCAGCAGAGAGTCATGGATGCAAAGCGTAGGCTCGGACTTTAACCGAGTTGATCTATACTGGACCCCTATTCGAGTTATTGCTTTTGATTACGGCCCGAAGTTGGAGGACTGGCGGCTGCGGTGGGTTGTCGACTCGGAGGCCTTTGCGGGTGAGTTTTGGAGGTCTGTAGAAGCGCCGACTAGCACCATGCCGGGCAGTTGGGTGGAATAAACGTTCACCTAGAAATTCATATCGCCCAGCCTCTGATGGTATATCTCACCACAATTTAATGTAGTGTTGTCTGGGCTACTGGTGAGAATTGTGAATGCAGCAGGATTAACCGCCGAGGAAGACTAGCGGCGCTAATGCCCGGCCCCTTCGGGGGAGGCCAGGCGGCTATCCCGGCCCCACGGTACCCCACTACAGGTGGGCAGGAGCTCACCCCGCGCCTTCGTCATCACCCGCCCTCTCATACCTCAAGCTCTCGTGTGGTGCGGGGCAGGTCAGGTCACTCAACCTTCCTAAAGCTCCAAGCTCTCTCCCTATCTCTTCGTCGTCTTCATAATACGCCCACTTTTGTCACCGGCACAAGGACAAAGCGCGTCCGAATCATTCTAAGGATTCTTGTACAAACAAATCATATTCAGACATGGCTTCCAAGACCACTCGCCGACCTGGTAAGCAAGGCGAGTGGTACCTCGGGGATGCAGAGGAGCTCTCGAAGCAGCTCAAGGGCTTTCTATCTGATGTCCCTGATCAGATTGACGACAGTGGTTTGCCCATTCCAGGCGCAAGGGTCATTATAGCGCCGTAAGTACTTCTTACGACCACTCGCTTCTCCCTTTCTCGTCAGTTCCTCGAACCATTAGAAATGAGCGGCCCAACTGACAGTATTATGACGTCTACAGCCATGCTGGTTACAGCTACTCCGGCCCAACCGCGGCATGGGCCTACAAAGCTCTGGATCTCTCCAAGGCCAAGCGAGTCTTCATTCTCGGACCTTCACACACATTCTATCTGCGTGGCTGCGCTGTCACGGAGTTTAAGAACTATGGTACGCCATGGGGGGAGCTCAAGGTCGACGAGGAGGTCACCGCACGTCTCGGCGATGAGTTCGACATTCCCGCCATACCTACCCGCAATGACCTCAAGGAGCACTCGCTAGAAATGCACCTGCCATATCTTTGGATCCGGCTCGAACAGACGTTCGGGTCGCCCGAAAACTTTCCGCCTGTTGTACCGATCCTCGTCGGTGACAATGACAAGGCCGAGGAAAAAGAGATTGGCCAGTGGCTGGCGCCGTACCTCAAAGACCCGGAGAACGCATTCATCGTAAGCTCCGATTTCTGCCACTGGGGCGGCCATTTTGATTATACCGTTTATTGCCCCGACGGCGACATCAACAAACTGCAGAGACTGTCACCGCACGGCCGGGCTCCCACTGGCCCACCCATTCATGAGACGATCAAGATGCTAGATGACCTGGCCATCGAAGCCATCAAGACAGGCAAACACGACAACTTTTATGACAACCTCAAGCAGACGAAAAACACAGTCTGCGGGAGGCACCCGATTGGCGTGACGATGGCGGCGTTGGAAGAACTAGGCGAAGACCACCCGAAATTCAAGTTCGTGCAGTACCAGCGCAGCAGCATGGTCACAACGCCGAACGATTCAAGCGTAAGCTACGTGTCGGCATATGCTGTGGTATGAAGGGGCGGGGGGGAAGGGCCAAGTGTCAAGTAGAGTACCTGCTCCGCAGAGACGCTGAGTAATGGGAGGGGGGGCGATAGGAAGTCTCTGGGTTTGTACCAACAGCAGGAACGGTGGCCGGATGCTCAGGGCGCGTGGGCATGAAGGAGTTTTGTGATGGGCTTAGACATGGGTTTCAACCCAAGACGAAGTGACAAGGGAGAGCAAACTTTTTCTTCAGCTAGCAAAGTCACCATACGTGAGATCATTTGACGACATTCATCCCGTGTGTTACTGAGGTCAGAGATACGGCTGTTGCAAAAGACTCAGGTAGAGACGACGAGCCGGTTATGAGTAAAACGCATATTGTGTGCATGAATGCTCGGGTCTGATGTTGTTGTCAAGCCGGATCTGAGGGGTAAGAGGGGCATGACTACGAACGGACCGAAAAGAGCCGGAGTGAGGGCCGTATGCTGTCCCGTTCGGAGGGACATGACGAAAGAATCGGACTTGGATCGCGGCTCGTTGCTTGGAGAAAGGGCACATCCTGGGGGGTTCCGAAGCACAGCCCTACGGTCCTCCCTGGACACAACCGCGGCGACGCTAGACCAGCTGAAGGGATGGTGTTTGTGGGTTTGGTGGTGTGGTGTCAGCAGCTCTTTCGCCCAAAGCGGCACATATTGCGGGCTATTTGTTAGGTTAGGCTTCGACGTGACAGAGCACTGGAATGTGTCGGCTAGAGCTTTTGGGAGGGAAGCTTTCCCTTCACCATGACCATCGAATGAGATGATGGGAAATCCATCAGTACCCCGCGCACCGTGGCAATGCATAGCGGTCCTGTAACTGAAAATTCCAAGAAACTTGGTGAGCATTGACTTTGTGAGTTGCGGGATTGCGAGGGGATGTCCCCAGCACCAAGAGGCGAAAAGAGTTCAGAGTTCTTCGGAGCATGGCGCGGGAGATCTAGACTTGGCTGGTGGATAGAGGAGGAAAGTTGCAGATTGGTTGAGTTGGCTGTGACTTCAAGGGAGAGGGAAGGAGGTGTACCCCGGGCACGAAGGCGCAGGAAGCTCCGCGGGACTGGCAGCCGACAGCAGCGGTGTGGTGTGGTGGTGGATTAGCGATAAACGGGATGGTGGGAAGGCTGTGTCTACTTGGTGCAAAAGGCTAAATGCTGGAGCTGTCCGTAGTCAGGGCTGGAGACTTGGCAAGCTGAAGCTGTCTTTTTGGGGGGGTTGTAGTATCCTCTTTTTGGCTCCTTTGAGGTCGCTTGTATGTAGTTATCGAGAGAGTGCGAGGTTCCCCATAGTAAGCTGTTAGGCACCTGTATTTCACCCAGGTAAAGCGGAGCAGTAGCCGGGGATGTGGACGAGCGGTGGCCTTGGAAGGCGAGTTAAGAGGCCTGCCTGGTGATGACGAGCTTACGGCTTGCATCAGGCAGAGTCTAAATGTGGCGAAGGAAGGGTGAGATGGCCAGGGGTGTGTTTTTTTTCTCTGTGTTCCTGGATAAGAATCACTACATCATCCGCAAGCAAAATAGACAGATGGAGACAGAGTTGCCGCAGCAAGAGCTGAGCCTGATGGTCTTGTGGCCCCCCCCATCTGCCATGCAGTCGCTAGGCATGCTGGGTGAGGCTAAGCTCAGCCGTACGGCAACGGATACGGTGACGGAAGTTCAAGAGACGCCATCTGCATGTGTTGGTCTCTTTAGTGCGTTGCCCTTCCGAGACCGTAAGCATGGAAGCGAAGCGGGGATGCAAGTGGCTGGAAGGATTCGACAGTTTTTGATTTGTGCCAGGCTGGACTGTAGGTTTGCTCGGAATTGGATGATGAGATGGTGTGGGTTGGTTTAAGAGGCGACATTCCCGTTTCCCGGCTGCAGCTGAGAATCTACTCCCTTAGCTCCTCGATTTCTCGATTCTTCAGCTTCAGGTGCAATTCTTGGTGTTGCTTGTTTTCTGGGGCAGTCCACTCTAGGCACTGTCAAACACCACACACGCCTTGTTTCTTATTATCTTTGGATTCCCGTCTTTCATGATCAACAAGAAGGGGAATAAACAATAAAAAGAACAACGATCGGTCAAACGAATTGATCATCCCATCGACGAGCAGCACACCCACAACGAAAGGAAAAGAAAAAGACGCAGAAGCAGTAGCAAAAGCAAACACGCGACCAAAACACAAAGGTGGAGAGATTTGGATCGTTAGGCGCCTGATTGGACCGTCGGAGCATTTTCGCACCTTCCCAGCTATTCTCTGCTGTACCCTCGGTCGCGACTTCTTTTTTTATCGACCAACAAAAGGCAACTGCACCGGTCGCAGTTGAAACCAGAAAGGCAGGAACGAACCTAGGAAAGACCTAAAAAGCTTCTCCAGGAAAGGAAGGGACCGACAGGTCGGGAATTCGATTCGTTCACAGCGCCTACCACCAAAGGCCACCCCTGCCCGATTACGTACCTTTGTCAGCTTTTTTGGGTGCTTCGCCTACTTTGAACACCTGAGACTCGTGACTTTGAGAGACTTTGAGAGACTTTGGAGGCTCCCAGTCATCGTCACAAGCAATTCACACAACATCAGCAAACCTTGGGGCTCTGCATCAGCAATAAGACCAAGGTTGACTTTTTTGTTATTTTGTTTTTCTATGGTGTTGCATTGGCACGAACAGTCAGCATCGAGAAGCATAACAAGGCACAAAGCGCGCCTGCAAAGCTAAAGAAACAGAAAAAAGACCTTCCCCTTATCCTTATACTCATCTATAGCAAAGGTCATTTATCTGGTCAACGCTATCAAAACATACGCACATACCCACCAACCATCGATACCCAGGAATACACTTCTCTCTGGGAAAAAGAGCCTTGGCATTCAAACCGCCACATCAAGCGAATTAGAAGGCGCATTAATTTATTGGGTCCCTCATCCTCGCAACTCCAGCCTAACGCCTCAAGTTTATTCGTCCCCGTCGCCCGCCGCCTGTTACACCACGAACCAAAGCAATACCCAAGCTTCAGGGTCCAATCATTTACCCAGTCATCAGCCAATCAGCCTTCAATAGGCCGGATCCGCTCGAGTCGAGACACTCTTTTTGGGTGTTCCTGTTCCTGCTGCACACCTGCACATCGCCCCCTTTCCCTTGCGTGTGTTGTTGCATCGCCCCTGTCGACCTACTTACTTACTACTGGTACCTGATTTGACCTTGATCTTCATCGTCTTTTTTGGTGCCAAGTATCTCTTCAGTTCCCGACTTCACCAAAAAAACTACGGGCATTACTCATATCCTCCCCAACACCACCCGAGGCGCAATCAATTACGACTTTGATTTCGCCCGTATAATAATAACACACACACACACATATACACGTAAATACATACACACACACAGACCAGCAACGCCTCTCACAATAAGCCCGGACCCTCCATCATCTCTCTTCACTCAGGCTAGACGCTTCGCTACCTAAACGGCGATCATTCCGCAGCCAGGGGCCCCCCAAGCTCCACGCCCCAGTTCCCTCACAGACAATTCGAATTTCTGCTACAAAGAAGCGCCTCAAGCCACACCTCTGTGTCCTGCGTCCTGCGCTTTTTCAAAGTGGCCCATTCGCCTCGTCTCGCTTCTCCCCTGACCACGCCCACCCCCGGTCTCTTCCCCCCCTACAACTACTACCTTACCCTGTCTCTCCTACCTTTCTCTTATCCACAACCAAAGAGAAAGAAAGAAAGGGCCTGGGACTTGCTGTCGTCCAAGCCTGTTGTGTGGTTACCGTCGTTGTCTTCGTCTTGTCGTTTGTCGTAAAGAGCCCACACACTCTTTCGATCTTTCGACACTGCAACACACCACCGCCAATCCGTCTCATCTCCTTTATTTGACAATAGCCCATTCTACCCGTACTCAATTGCTTCTACCCGCCTGCGAGGAAAATCAAATTCCAACTCGACCAAAACATCAAAATCAAAGGCATTACTTCTCTCCTTCGCTCCGCGACCGACGTCGCCAGTAAAATCACTACCCGCCCCGTCGTCGCGCAAGGAAGAAGCCTACGCGCTTCGCAGAAGCAGCCATGAGTGTCAGTGTTTCACCCCAACCCTCGCACTTCCGGTGTTTCGACCGTCGCCCTGTTCCTCTTCTGCACTCGCTGCCCTACCCTACCAACGTTGCATTGTACCGTCCTCTGGCCTCTGTCAATGGGCACATGTTCTCTCGCCCCCCTTCTCGAAGTCGAGAAAGTCTACCCGTTCCCTCTCTGCAAGCCGCAAAACTTTTGACTTCCCCAATCACCAACCTTCTTTGCACCTCACCATTCTTGCTTCAGCCTGGTTGCGTTGCATTTGTTTGCTGTTGCTTGCTTTTTGAATCCCTTTTTCCGAAAGAAAAAAAAAATTACCACCACCCTACCTACCTCCTAATCGATCTTCCTCCACCACCGATATCCGAAGCCGAAAACTAACATCATGTCACAGTACGGGTATGTTTCTTTGTCAGGAGCCGACGGCGCCCACGACGACGAATACGATCTCTCTCGCGGTAGACTAACAGACTCAACTAATGATAGATACGGTGGTCGTCAAAACCCCTTTGACCAGCGGGATGACTCCCCCTCGGGAGGATACGGCGCCCCTATGAGAGGTCCTCCTCAGCAGTCTTTTGGCTCAGGACCGTCTCCCTACGGAGGAAGAGGATATGATAACGCACCGTCAATGGGTAGGGACCAATACGGTATGCTCCTGACCGCGACGGTCGTCCGCGTCCGTGTGCTGACTTTTGTTTTTCCCCCCTAAACAGGAGCCAACGTCGAAATGGAGTCCCTCGCCCAGAACGCCGGTGGCTTTGGCCAGTCTGACCCTCAAGCGATCCTCAACGAGTGCCGATCCATCGATCAGGGCATCGACCAGATCGAGTCGAACCTGAACCAGCTGCGCATGCTGCAGGAGCGAACCCTCACGGATGCCGATACCTCAGCCAACTCGGCGACCGCCCGCCAGCTAGACGCTCTCTCCTCCGAGACCATGACCATGTACCGATCTCTCACCGACCGTGTTCGCCAGGTCAAGTCCTCTCCCGATGGTCAGTCCGCAAGAAACGCGCCGCAGGTCGGCCGCGTCGACCGCCGCCTCAAGGGCGCCATCCAGCAGTACCAGCAGGTCGAGTCGCAGTTCCGCAAGCGTACTCAAGACCAGATGGCCCGCCAGTACCGAATTGTCCGCCCCGACGCCGATGAGCGCGAGGTCCGTGAAGCTGTTGAGGACGCCGGTGCCGGTGCCCAGATTTTCCAGCAGGCCGTTATGCAGAGTGGTCGCCAAGCCCAGGCCAACGCTGTCCTCAGCGCCGTCCAGGACCGCCAGGCTGCCCTGCAGAAGATTGAGCAGCAGATGGTCGAGCTCGCCCAGCTATTCCAGGATATGGATGTGCTCGTCGTGCAGCAGGAGGCCGCTGTCACACAGATTGAGCAGAAGGGCGAGGAGGTTGTCGAGAACCTCGACAAGGGTAACCAGGAAATTGGCGTCGCCGTCACTACCGCACGCGCGACCCGCAAGAAGAAGTGGTGGTGCTTGGGTATCAGCGGTATGTATATGGCGGTTATTGTGTGCATGCGGCACTCGTCACTAACTCTTTTCCAGTCCTCATTGTTGCCATCATCGTTGCCGTCGTTGCCATCTATTTCGCCGTTATAAAGCCCAGCCAGGCTGCACCTGCACCCGCCGCGGCCAAGCGCAGTCTCAACCTCGAGTCCCTCCCCATCTCCAACAGCGTGCCCGTCGATATCGGCACCGTTCACCCGCAGATCCTCAAGACGAGCAGGATCATGCGCCGAATCGTTCAGCCGGGCGCCTCCTGGGAGCCCAACGCCGTGCAAGATGCCTCGGTTGTTCCTCGCGTTGGCGGCAAGTGGGACATGCCCGCCGTCCGCAACTAGACGTCACCCCTATCCTCCGACTCTGTATAAAATGCCTCCACACCACCTTTTAACCCCGCTCGCCTCGCACCCCACCCGAGGCTCATGTCTCCTTATCCTCGTATAACCGTCCTCCGACTTGACGTCCGGATCGATTTCTGATAACCTTTTACTACTATAAGAGTTACTCGCCTTTTTATAGACGGAATGGATCAAGGCAAGGCGGCAAATTTTCATTATTTCTCTTGTAAGGTGGAGTATCAAAACAAGGGAAAAGATGAAGAGAAGGCAGGATTCCGGGAAACCCAGGTCCCGGGGATGCCTGCGCCCAGAAGCTTTATATCGTATAGGGTGTTTTGAATACCCATAACCAGACTTTCTTTACTGTTACACCGTTTCCCTCTGTGGGCTGTGCGTCGCGTCTTGGATTCAGGATTCCCCTTCCAGAGTGGGATCGTATTTGAAAAATGTTGCGGGCGTTGTTTGTGCGACCTGACTGCTGGCTATTTTATTTGTTGCATTAGGGGCGTTGTTAGCATGAGTGTCGAGTAAATATAGTCAGATTTTGACTTGATTGAAATCTTAATCTTTGTCTTGCAGGGTTTTGAGTCTCGAAGTGATGTGCGCTTGGCGTGAGAACGGTGATGATTAATGGTACTTGCTGATGTAGATTGATGGGATTGGCGTTCTGCTTATGAGTGAGTAGTTTGGTTTGTGATCATGGACAGACAAGTGCCATGTGTCGTTATGACAAGTCCGTTTCAGCATGGTTAATCGTGTGAAACGAACGCTGCACGGCGTGGATGGTGTTGGGGCCGGCGGTATGATGATGCGTCTATCGGTCCTGGCGGTATATCCCAGTTTATCTGTGTGAACCTTGAAAGGGAAGACATGACAGCAAGGCTCGGGCGTGACGACCTGAGTCTTGGTCTTTTTTGGTTTCGTTACTTTGATAGTGCGTGCTAGACGTAGAGCAGACATGCTTCAAGACCAATACTTATAATCTATACTGCTGGAGTAGATAGGAACATCGATTGGCTGTGGTATTGGATGTTGGTCGAGTTGAACCTTGCTTCTTACGTTGTTTGCTGGTGGAGTTACGCGAGTTGTGTTGCAGGGTACGTCACTCGTCTTTTACAAATCGCTCTAGACAAAATTTAGTAGCATCTTTTACGTTTAGATCGTTCAATTTGTTTATTTACTGGGAGAGAGCGTCGCACGGTATGGTATATTTGATGGTGGCTACCGGTGGGCAGGCTCGATGCAATCAACCTCACCGGCCACGGCTTCACAATGTAGTTTCAAGGGCATCATGGTGCTCGATGCACTTTTCTTATCGCTGTCACTTGAGAGACATGAACGGACGTCTCTTACTTGTTAATTCGCTTTGTCTGTTGGATTTGAAGCAAATTGGGAAAGCTTACATTGCAGAATCTTTTTTTCGAGAGTTTCATATAATCTTGTTGTTTCGGAGTTGAATAAACAACTGAAAATGTGCAAGTAATTCGACAACACTTTTTCTCGTATTCTGTTTGAATGCAGTATGATGTAACATAATATTCTATGCTAACTATAACCCACTTGACACGTTACTTCCTTTCAAGAGCACAGTGCAGGCTCACACTACTATTTGACCTTCCGGCTGGGCGTGGGGTGCACAGCGTTCCGTCTACCTCTTTTCAACTGGACTTGATGTGCAAGAAGCCGTAGACGTTTTGAAAACGTATTCTTAGATTTCCATTGGCTGTTGGGTACTGTCATCTCAACCGAAAGGTGTGAGGTCGTTATTGTTTACTCACTTCAAAGAGTCGAAGGCAATTTTGTCAGAGTCTGGGCGCCTGTCCGTTGATTGCTCTACCACATGAATTTTAATAAGTACGTACTCTCGTCGTCACCCTGCCGAGTTCTATATTAACTGTAGTTATTCATTATTTACAGACTAAATTCGATATATGTTTTGATTTCAGCTTATGAACAGTCATGCCGCGTGAGCCGAGAGTCACCCAATACTCGACACAACGTAAGGTAGAGTGATGTGCAAGGCACCCCGCCTACTGCGAGCTCTTTAGACTCCAAGAATTAAAAAAATACCATCGTCTGATGCTCTAATCACAGAAAAAAATTATACAAGGAATTAATCTGTGCCATACCGACTTTGTTATCCGGGCATGAAAACTCTTTCATCAATCCAGCTATGATTTGACAACCCGCCCTCCGCAGTTTGCCGCCATGGAGAGTCTTCCTCGGTGGGCTGTAGAGGGTTTCTCTCCGCTGGGAGAATCGTGAGCAGAATGGACTTACTGAAAGTGACATTGACAAGATCTATCCTGTAAGAAGTCATACGTGATTTAGATTGTTCAATTTCAACTTTGCTATTCAGAGTGAATTTGCAGACCAGTACCATTGACATCCAGTTAAACTCAACATTCCTTGCTTCCACTCTCTATCCCCATAATAAAAGGATTTAAGTGCTCTCACCAAATGAGACTGACATTCGGAATACATCTAGGAACCATATCCGCCTGGTCACACGTTGTCATTCATGACCTCGCGCCAAGAGGGAAATTCATACAACTATACCATGCTCAACTTGCTAAATTGGGAAAAGTCACGGGGGGTTGAGCCAAACCTGCAGAACAGATCCCGTCTTGCTTAAGAAGTACGTTGGCGAAGCCACCAGAGCTATTTTAACAAGCGTCACGTTTAACATTGACAGCTCTGAAAAGAAGCGACTGCTCACAGCAGCGGCCATTTCTACCCATTACACTCCTTAAAGCTTGGCATCTATGGCAAGTCACCATGTTAACCGGACCGTCACAACCATGGATGGGTTATTCAACATGAACCACACGATACAATCACAACTGCAAAATCGTAAATTACTGCCTGGACGGGCTGTGAAGCCCTCAACTGTCAATAACACCGTGAACGAACAGCGTCTATAACCATTAGCCCCCCCGTCGTAAGTCGTAATTCATTACTTATACATGTCCGGCAGCTGCCTGGTACAGCGTCATGCCGTCAGGTCTCTGTAGTACAAGCCTGCGAAGCCGTTAATACCCACTGGAAGCATCTTATCAGAGACACCTTACCTCGATGGTATATCATACAAACCCCCCAACAATCGAAATGAGTGAGGATGGAGCCTGCAGCCCCTCGGGACGTACGGATATTTTCTCAACGCCTTCACTCTTGACCATCGACCGTACCCTCACCCTCCACGCCGTCCTCAGTCTTCTTCTCACGAGCTTTCTCGGCCCGGCCCTCGCCCGCCTTGACGACCCGACGGAGCACACTCATCTTGCGCTCAAAGTCCTCCAGCAGCGGGCCGTAATCCTCGCCGCCGGACTTGGCCACGCCGCTGTTGGAGCTCGGCAAGCTATCCGTCTTGTCCTTATCGCCGCCTGCGCCGATGCCCTCGCTTTCGACCCCGTCAATCTTGAGGACCATGCCGCCTTCTTTCTCGCCCTCCTGGCGGGAGATGCTGGCTTCTGTCACGGCGAAGTCGGCGCTGAGGCTGGCGGCCGAGGAGATTGCCCACTGGCCGTCGGGTCCGGGGACCATGTCTAGCAATATCGTGCGGTCGGCGGGGTTCGGCTGGCTCCTGCCTGTCTTGGAAGTGGACGCTGACGGTGCCGGGACCTGGTTGGCCGCATGCTGCGTCGCGAGCGCCGAGGTGAGGATGTCCGGGTCGTCGTCGAGGAAGATGTACTTCACGGTGGGGTGGTGTGTTGTGTTCGTCGTCGAGTTGGAGACGAGGGTGAAGAAGCCCGCGGGGTCGAGCTTGGGCGCGACGGGCTCGGGCTCGGGCTCAGGCTCAGGCTCGGCGTCGTCGAGTTGGTGATCTGCTTCGGCACTGGCGTCTGCGGTGGTGATGTCTGGTGATGCCCTGTTATCGGACGTCGTCGCGGGGGCTTTCTGGTTCTGCGAGGATGATGGGGAGGTAGCGGCTCCAGCGGCGCCGGCGGGGTGGTGATCTGCGATCTCCGGACGCGGAGACGTGGGGACGTCGGCCATCATGAGACGCTGACAGTCACGGTCACGGTCGCGTGAGGTCGGGTAACGTTTGACGGGAGCTCGGTTGCTGCTGGTCTTGTTCCGGGGCCGGCGGGACGGGTGTGTGACGGGGTTGAGCGCGTCGCACTGGTTGGCATCTTTTCCCGGGTCGAGATGTTGGGAGGAGTTGCTCTCGACGATGGGATCCAGGAAGGGACGGAAGTTGGAGCTGCTGCTGGGCGGCATGGTGGAGGTGATCCTGGGGTATCTTATCGTTATCTCCACGTGACGGAGTGTGGGGGGTCGTGATCACGCATGTGATGCAGCTACGCTGACTTGCGCGGTGGTTGGAGATGAAGCTTGGATAAATGTGATTGCATTTATAACCAAAGAATCATTTAATCTGAAGAGAGTGTCAAGGTCTTCACTGTGATCTTTTAGAAGACCTGGCTGTAGCCCTATTGAAAGGTTTGTGGCCCATTGCTGCCAAACCCATCACTAGTCTGGATCATGGCGTCTAGAACCACGGTAGAGGGCTGTCCTGTCAAGATATAACGTTACGAGTAATTACCAGAAGACTTCATTTTACATTTAGTGAAATTCATTTCGAGCCTCAGCACCCTGCTATCAAAATGCTAAAACGACATAGGGTTTTCATTTGCAGGTTCGCCCGCACAGAGAACTGTGTTAATGCAAATCGTTCCCTCATTGTCAATAGACATGGGTATCTCTACCAGAACCATGCGCCAAACACCGTTGAAATCAATAAGGAGACTATCGGTCAACTCCAACCGTTTCGTTGGCTTGTTCCGTCCATTCGAATTCTAAAAGTGTCAGCAAAGGTGTTTATGGAGGGCGGAGACACGACTTACTTTGACGACACATGGGACATTGGCCCTTGGCCGAGTCTTGCTTGATCCACTCCTGGATGCAATGCTGTATGCCTTGTTAGAAATAAAGAGGGCACGAGCGAGAAACGCAGACTCGCCATGTGAAAGTTGTGGCCGCATTTTCCAGATACTGATTGCTGGGATTAGTTACATGACGGAATCATGCGGTATGACCAACTCACATAGGCTGCAGTCGTCGCCGGGGTATTTGCAGGTCGGACATGTGCCATCAAAGTGGACTTGGCAGATACCACACACATCATCCTCGGGGATATCCCACCGCCATGTCGCAACGGTGTTCCAGCGGGAGATCTTGACCTTCATGCTGATGGACCCGGAGAGCAAGAGATAGGGTATGCCCGGGGTTGGATGTGGCTTTGTATTTGTGGTTTGTAATTATTTGAAGATTATTTGAAGAGAGAGAAAAAAAGACTTAAGGCAATGGTCAAGGACCCTCTTTGGAAAGCCTTGTTATGACAACAAGTTTGTTTGTAGAAGGTAACAACTTCAGGAAGAACTGCGGGGCAAAAGGCTCCCCGAACCAGTCAATCACCTCCAAAAAAGATGGCGAAATGGCCCAAGCTCCCCGCATTCACGCCTACCGACCCACCGCTTTACTCTCCTTCCCAGTGGCTCCACCAAACCCAACGGACACTGCGGACTCTAGAGTCATCAGTGACCGAACCGGACCCCGACCTCCTCCCGCTTATCTCTTTGGGGGGCAAGTGTAGCCTGTAGGTCGGCCCATTATGAACTGGAACCAACCAGTGGAACGCCGCCCACCCCCCCGAATTCTGCTTTCGCAATCGCTGATAATAATAAGATCACCACCGCCCTTTCTCCAAAAACCTGACCACTACCGGTCACCGGCCCCAAACACAAAATATTCTACTACATTACGATTTACGCAATACACACCACAAACAAAAAAAAAAGTCAGGGTGCAACGGCAAGCCTCTTTGTAGCTTTCCCTCCCCCCTCTCTCTCCAAAACCCCGCACGCAAATCACCACATGCGATGCCTCTGCGGTCTTGGCCTTCGTGATTTTTCTCTCTCCGTCCTGCCACCCTGCTGAAGGGCCCTGTGTTCCGGGCTGCCCGCCTTTTGCTGTTGACATCGACCGATATCGACCGACCGGCCGACCCTCCGACCTGTCATAACCCCTCCGACCGACTATTCTTGACATTACCTCTTTACAAGTAATTTCAGAACTACATCACATCATCATGGCCACCGCCGCCATTTTCAGGTCGTCGCGCATTTCCGCGAAGCTGCCGCAATGGCATGCACGCCCCTTCCAGGCCCAGGCTGGCGCCATCGCCGCCTTTGCTCTGCGCCGTTCCTTCTCCTCATATCTCGTCACCCCGAAAGAGTTGGACGAGGCTCTGAAGAAGAACCCTTCCAAGATCAGCCCGGAGCCGCGAGTGATCCCCCTCTGCGCCTCCTGGTTCCTCCCCAATGATGGCCGCACTGGCATCGAGGTCTTCCGCCAGCAGCGCATCCCCAAGGCTCGCTTCTTTGACCTCGACAAGGTCATTGACCGCCACAGCCCGTACCCCCATATGTTGCCTTCCGCCAAGGAGTTTGCCGCCGCCATGAGCGAGTTGGGCATTCGCAAGGAGGATACCGTCGTTGTCTACGACAGCAAGGAGCTCGGCATCTTCAGCGCTCCCCGCGTTGGTTGGACTCTCAAGATCTTTGGTCACTCCAAGGTCCACGTCCTCAACAACTTCAAGCTGTGGGTTGAGGAGGGTCTGCCCACCGAGGCTGGCGAGCTGTACAGCGTCGAGTGCTGCACGTACCCGATCCCCAAGCTGGACGAGGGCAAGGTCGCCGATTTTGAGGAGGTGCGCGAGATCGCGCTGGACCACAACAAGGAGGGCGCCGAGGGCGTGCAGATCATCGATGCGCGGTCGCCCGGCCGGTTTACTGGAAAGGACCCTGAGCCGAGACCTGGCCTGTCCTCTGGCCACATGCCTGGCTCTATCAACATCCCCTTCAACGCTGTCTTGGACCCCGTGACCAAGGCTTTCTACCCGGCTGAGAAGCTGAAGCAGATCTTCCAGGAGAAGGGTGTTGACCCTGAGAAGCCCATCATCTCTAGCTGCGGCACCGGCGTGACTGCCTGTGTCATTGAGACCGCTCTGGAGGTGGCCGGATACGGATCCCCTGAGAAGCGCAGAGTCTACGATGGAAGCTGGACGTAAGTGCTAAACAACTTTTTTCTTCGTGCCCTTCAATTTCACAAGCTAACAATGTACGACAGTGAATGGGCACAGCGGGTCAAGCCTTCTGAGTCGCTCATCAGGAAGGACGAGTAAAAGAAGAAGAGAGATTGAAGGAAGAGTGCAGCGCGAGTTGCTTCTAGTTGCGATACCCTCCCTACCCCACTTCTGTTTTTCTCTGGTTTTCCTGTACGATATCCGGCTCACAGCTTTTGGAGTTTGCATTGCGCATCGGGGAGGTTCGTAAGCCTATTTCGTCGTTTGAGAGCAAGCAATTGGAGGCGGCTGGTGTACATAGGCGGCCACGGTAATGATGAACAACCTGGGACATTTCCATTCTACAAAAGATGCTACTGCAAGCTGTTATTCCAGCTACTGATTGTGTGACTCATACATAAAAAAAAAAAAACAACAACAAAAACAAGACGAAATGCTTTGCTTGTATGGATATGGAAGGCATTGACCATCTTATCTGCCTGTACCCATGTGGAGTTTGGGAGAAGCACCACCCTGCGCATTGAATTATTGGAATCAACTTCCATGCGCAGAATAAGTGGGACCCGCCCAATAGATGATGCGATTGTCGGTGTGTCTCGGTGAAGGATATGACCCCCACTTTATCTTCACCTGGGAATCTCTCTGCCTTGAAGCTAAGGCCATCATTTTCTCATTAGGGCTCGCTCGCCAAAACCCAAAAAAAGTGCCTAGGCGGTGCACACCAAAAAATGCCCGGCCCTGACAGCCACCACAGACCCCCGCAAAAAAAGTTGTGGTTTAACGAATCTCGAAATAACTTCCACCCTAACCACCACTCCGACTAACCGCAGCAGCAACTCTCTTTTGCGCGCAACACCTCCCCCCAAAACCCGACGACAATATGGCTGACCGTGGTGCAAGCGCCCCCCGTGGCGGTGGTTTCGGATCCCGAGGTGGTGACCGTGGCCGTGGACGTGGTCGTGGCCGTGGCCGTCGCGGCGGCAAGAGCGAGGAGAAGGAGTGGCAGCCCGTCACCAAGCTGGGCCGTCTCGTGAAGGCCGGCAAGATCAACAGCATGGAGGAGATCTACCTGCACTCTCTGCCCATCAAGGAGTACCAGATTGTCGACTTCTTCCTGCCCAAGCTCAAGGATGAGGTTATGAAGGTGCGCACACACATACACAACAAACGAAATACCAAGAAGAAGAAAAAACCCCTACCCGGAGACCGAGAACCATCGCAGACGATATCGATATATCTGTTTCGCCAATGCGGATGAGCAATTGGATCTCTGGGAGGGGTTTTTTTCTTCTTGATTTTCGTGTAACATGAAATCAAAAAAGAGAGGAATGAAATGCTAATTCGTCATTCTTCTTCCCCAATTACAGATCAAGCCCGTCCAGAAGCAGACCCGTGCCGGTCAGCGCACCCGTTTCAAGGCCATCGTCCTTATCGGTGACTCCGAGGGCCACGTCGGTCTCGGTATCAAGACCTCCAAGGAAGTCGCTACTGCCATCCGTGCCGCCATCATCATCGCCAAGCTGAGCGTCATCCCCGTCCGTCGCGGTTACTGGGGTACCAACCTTGGTCTCCCCCACTCCCTGCCCACCAAGGAGTCTGGCAAGTGCGGTTCCGTCACCGTCCGTGTATGTATACCCCCAAAGAACAAAAATCAAAATCAATTGCGGTTTTGCGAGACGTCGGTTGCTGATACGCCATGTAGCTTATCCCCGCTCCCCGCGGTACCGGCCTTGTTGCCTCCCCCGCTGTCAAGCGTCTCCTCCAGCTTGCTGGTGTTGAGGACGCCTACACCTCCTCCGCCGGTTCCACCAAGACCCTCGAGAACACCCTCAAGGCCACCTTCGTCGCCGTCTCCAACACCTACGGCTTCCTTACCCCCAACCTGTGGAAGGAGACCAAGCTCGTCAGAAGCCCGCTCGAGGAGTTCGCGGACACTCTGCGCGAGGGCAAGAAGTACTAGATTTCCTCTAGTGCTATGGATGAATGAGTGGTGGGGGACGAAGAAGAAACATTATGTGTGGTGGCTTCGGGATTTCTCAAATGGAGTTGCGTGTGCGTTACACTGCATCGTTGGTTGGCCAGGGCATGACATTAAGGCTATGGGCAAACTAGCTCGGATCTGAAAATAAAGATCAAAACTTCGACTGCAGATGATGGTCTTTTTTCACGTTAATACTATGGGCATGAGTTCAATGTCTTGGCACCCCTTGCGTTGATGGATTTGATGTTGGGACTAATGACAGGTGATTCTGTGCGATATGCGGTTGTGGTGGGACGATTGACGGTTGCTTTGGATTGCGATTTATGCCTCAACCTAGCGAACCGCATGGCGAGTGTCTGTCGGTTCGGCCGGGTACAAATGCTCTGCCAAGCGGCTGTCAACGCCGTGCCGGGTGCCGGAGGGTGATCCAAGGTCCGATCTGAGACACATGGTGAAGAATGGAGACAGACCGAGTGGTCCAATTGGAGTGGGGACCCTTGTGGGTTGATCGAAAACTTGACTCTCGTGGTATGCTGAACCATTATAGCAAGAAATACCAGCGCCATCCATCTGCTTCGACATTTAGTCTTCTTTGTCACACAAGATGACGTCTGCTAACCTATCAAGAGAACATTGACACCAATATTTCGCCACGAAAGTCACTCATCACAGCCCACTAAAGTCAAACTTGTGCAGAATTTGTCTCAAAAATCAATCAATACAGGCACACACCAACAGCACCGTCTATCAAAGTCCGTCCAAACACCATCATTCAATGCCATCATCCTCAAACCGCACCCGTCTTCTGTTCTCCTCCTGCTGTTCAGGATACGGATGAAGCAAGTCAGGAGGATGCAGTCCCTCCACCCTCGCCGGCCTTGCCGCCGATTGACTCCTATACCAGTTTGACCCTCGGACAATACTGTCCGGCACGCTTCTCGGAATGTTTGGCGAGTTCACGTCCGGCCAAACCGTGCCATCGCTGTCAGAGCCAGTGCTCCTTGGGTCATCCGCGCCGTCGTGACCAGTATTATCGGCAGGAGTCCTGCTGTCTGCAACAAAAATTAGCACCTGCGTCGCCTCACCCAACATGATGAACTTACTTTCAAAGGTCCTCTGAACATGCGCCTCCATAGCCCTCCTCTGTGAAACCGTATCGCCGCCCCAGAACTCCGTCTGCCCAGGGAAAAACATGGTCCTTTCGTCTCTCTCATGGTACGGCACGGAAAGCATCCTCTCGATCTCGGCTCTCTGCGCACTCGCCACATCTTCCGCCGTGGGCCGCACTTCCTCTTCCATCTTCTCCATTTCGGCCTTCTCCTCCGCCTTCTCCTCATCCTTCAGCCTCTTCTTGTCCTCCACGCTCCTGCGGATCTGCTCCTGCCGCTTCTCAGTTTGCAGATGCACCGGCCACCGATTGACAGAGAAGAACTGCTTCTTTACACCCGCAACTTCCGGTCTCGCCCAGTCCCAGACCCGTTCCCGGTGAAGCGTCATGACTTCGTCGTCCTCTTCCTTGTCGTCATCGCCATCTCCAACGGTGCTGAACCTAGGTCTGGCAGGCCAAAGCGTACTGTTCCCCTCCGACAACTCATCAATAATACCCTTGCGCACAATCTCATACGCCTCCGCCTCGGTCATGCCCTCCTTGAACTTCCCCGGATCGCCCGCCTTGACCACGCTCACATATGACACTGACGGACCGCGTCCTGGAACACCCCTATCGAACTGGCCCTTCCACATGCCCGCGACATCCTGTAGTTGTACAGCGCGATCATCCCATTCTTGCGCCTGGTCCAGTTTCAGATCAAGCTGCCGCAGCTGTTCTTCGAGGTTGTCAAGTTCGACGCCGACGCGGTACGCGCGCGACCAGAGCATGTCCTTTGTCAGCCGCGCGCTCGTGTTGACCCAGTCTATGTTCGCAAAGGCCTCCTCCCAGATCCAGGTGTCTTCCGGGGGAGGCAGGTTGGCGGCGTTCCAGATGTTGGTCTGCGCGTCCCAGGGGTCGTCGCCCTCGGGCCAGTTGAGGCGGTGTTCGGGGTGCCAGTCGCATGTAGGCCGGGAAATCATGATTCTGCCTTTGTCGACTTCGTACCTTTTTTAAAATCTGTTAGCACCGTCATCCTACATGTCAAAAGGGGGTAAAAGCCTCACCCGAGTCGGCCGCGATTCGCTAGCACCTTGCAATACTTCCCGACCATGTCCTCTCGCAAGACAAAGTCCCCTTCTCTCAGCCCAGCATTCAGCGCCAGGGTGATGTGCATCACGTCCGCCTTCTTCTCCTGCTTCGCGAGCAGACTTTCCTTGTTTGGATCATCCAGAAGCGTCTGTATTCTCGTGACGAACACGTCAAACTCCCTCCCGAGCTTGGGCAACGGCTCCCTCTCCATCTTCTCGTTCGTCGACGGTCCGCACACGAACTGGAGCCAGTGCATCTCCATGTCGTCGACCTCACGAAACTTACCATATTTCTTCAGGTGCTGCGCTATCTCGTTCTGCATGTCCCACGACGGCTCACCTCGCAGACCCAACTCAATGTTCTTCAACATCCCCTCGAGCATCTGCCTCGGGGCCCGGTTATACGCCCTCGTCAACTTGTCACGGAACTCGCAGAGACGCTTATACCGCGTGACCGCCTTCCGCTCGCTCTCCTTCAAGAAACTAAACGGCGTGACGGGGCCAAGGAAATTCGCCGGCGTGAACACGGGGTCCGTATCTGAGCCCGTCTGCGTGAGCATCGCACGGCGATCCCGTTCCGTCAACGCCCTCGCGTCTTCCGCGCGTTCGTAGTGGTTCGACCGCATGACCTGATGCCAGTACGTCAAGCCGAGCGGGTCAAGCTTCGTCCCCTCGGGGGGCCTCTCGATGGCGTGCGGTTTGTAAACGATGTTCCGCCCCGCCCGCTCCCTCGCGAGCTCCCTTTGCCGTCTCGTCGGCGGCAGCACGAGTCTGCGGAACGGCCCCTGGATGGCCACGTTCTCGACGCTGTCAAAGTGCGACAGGCACTGCTGCAGCGCCGCGCGCTTCGCGCCGCGGTACCTCGCGAAGCGCTGCTGGGCTTCGCCTTCGGGGTACATTCTCTGCATCCTGTGCGTCCTGCCGCGCACCGTGACCTCGTCCACGCCGCCGGGCACGAATTCGCTGTTGGGCATGTAAAAGTTCGCGTCGCCCCTGATGGCCTGGACCGTCGTCTCGGGCCCGCCGCTCATGCACTTGCCGAACCACTCGTCTTCCGTGAGCGCCATGTTGAAGTCGGGCGAATATCCAAACGCCTTGCCGCGGTCGCCCGATCCCGGCATTGCGCCTCCCGTCGTCGGGTCGGCGTTCCACACGAGGTTGCCATCCTGCCGGAACCACGTCAGGAACGTCTCGCGAAGTAACCTTCCCGGGATCTGGTAGTCTACGTCCTGAATGGACTCGGGGACCCTGTGGAGGAGGTACCGGGGCCGGACGACGTCCTCGGCCGGCATCTTTTCCACGACGATGCTCCGACCGCCGGGGACCGGGGGAAGTCGCGCGCTGATGTTGCTCAGCTCGGGAAAGTCGACTACGAGCGGCCTCTCGCCGTAGTGGTGCTGCTCGAAGACCCAGTGCGTGTGCAGCATGTTGATGCACTCTCGCAGGTCTCCGTACCAGATCTTTCTCGTGGCGTCGGGCATGCGCACGCAGTGCTGTAGGAACAGGCCGATTTCCGCGAACTTGCGCTCCCAGTTCAGCGTGCGGTCAATGTCCTCGTCCGCGAGGAAGTTCTTGATGCGGGCGAGTTGGACTTTGGGGGAGTGGATGCGCCAGCCGCGGTAGGACATCATCTGGTGGTCTTCTGCGGAGGTGGTTACTTCACGCCCGACGAGGTCTGCGAGCCATCTTTGTTCGGCAGTCTCGGTTTGGTCGTTGGTCGTTTGGGCGTCTCCCATGTCCACATCCTCACTGGTAAGGTCGGCCATCTCGATGTCTTCATGTTGGGAACTTGTCGGTGATGGGGAAGGGGAGATTTCCTCACGCGCGGGCGTGAAGATGCGGCCTTTTGCCAGGGGAGCGAGGGGCTCATTATTAGGTCTCGTTCCCTCTGCGGTCACCAGGCGCTCAAAAAGGCGAGGAGCGTTCTGGTCCGTCGGAGTTGGTCTACCGACGGTAATAGGCGGCTGCGATGGCTGCGACGGTCCAGGTTGAGCAACCGCTCGACTGTGGGTTCGAGTACTAATAGTGAACGACGGGATCAGAGGTCGTGGAGCATCACGTACCTCGTCTCCGCCGAGGAGACTGATGCTACCCATCTCTCTTCCACCCCTGCCAGGTCGGCCCTGTGTTACAGTATGAGCTTATATTCAGCTTCACTTGAGGATAGGTACAAACCTTGAAAGTGACAGTCTTGCTTGTTCCAGGCTGGTCATGGTTTGATGTCGCGGTGGACGTCCTTCTAAGCTTGGCTATGGTGACGGCTTGTCCTGCTCTTCCTATCGGGTTCGAAACCTCTCGAGGCTCCTCTTCTTCAGTTGCTGTTTGTTCAGTCTCTTCCTCGTCATCCGAAGAGAAACCCGGGATCTTGGGAAGCTCATACGGGTTCGACCGCCGAATAAACTGATTGCTAGTGAAGTATGGATCAAAGATAGCAGGATACTCCCACCCATCAGGGGCAACCCGGGCTTTCCACTCCGTCGTGAACGGGTTGTGAAGTGTCTGGCCTCCTTCAGCCGGGGCTTTGGGCACTGCGGGCTGCTGTGGTCTCTCGAACTCTTTCACGCTGCGGCCAGCTGAAGAAGGCCCATACGTGGCATCCGGCCCGTCTATGCAAGAAATAGCTACACCAACAACCTCATTCTGCTGACCTTGGCCATACGCGGGATCGGAATCGCCGCGTACCTCAGCCTCATCGAACTCAACTCCCTGAAACCCCAATAACTGGCGCCACATTTCCACGTCTTTTCCTTCTCTAATTCGTCTCAGCATGATCTGTCTCTTCATTTTCAGCATAGTCTCTGGGTCATTCTCGGCTTCACGAGCTTGGGCGCTTAACATCCCTGCAGAAAACTCCTGAAACGATTCCCAGCGAGCCTGTCCAAGGTCCGCGTCCTTTAACCAGGGGTGCCGCGCAGAGTACATTTCTGCGGCGAGCTTACGGAACGCCTCATTCTCCTTAAGTGAGGCGTCGATCTGGCGAGTTGAAATGAGGGACTCAATATGCGCAAACAACCGCCGGGGTTCGTTTGCCTCAAGGATGGCCCGGGTGCGCTCCCAGTGTTCAGAGGGAAAGCGGTGGTAGATGCCACGGACCATTGCGGTCAACTCCGCTGACACCATGTCAGATACGAATCTTGAGATGGGATTTTTGACTTACGCATTCTTTCTTGCGCCATGCTGGCGGTTGTGGTGCTTGTGACACTTCTGACGGCGGAAACTCAAATCACAGCAGAACGGTTGGTAGTCAACAGTCATGCAAATCAAAAGGAGACATGTAGCGCCGCAGTAGAACGGAAGTAAACAAGGGGACGAAGCGGCGTATAAGAATGATCATCTCTCATAAGAGAGATGCTGGGCGGTTACAAAAGAGACGGAGAAAATGAAAGACAGACTTGGAAGAACTCACAATGCTTTCCGACGTGCGAAACACGCTCGTTTTGAAAGATTGTCATTTCTTAGAATGGCTTCATCTAGAATCAAGTCAAGCTGTCCCGTGCCGACTTTTTCCAAAGAAAGTATCATCATGGGCATTGCAGCAATGGCTCCGACAAAGATCCAATGTCTGATAGAATGCTGGGGCAGCACAAAGGGATAAACGGCCAATGCAGACAATGCATTTGCATGGCAAGCTCATTGCCGAAAGCGGCAACTCATTGGCGAGATGTCTTCTGATTCCGGCGCGGTGCAGAGAGTTCTTTGTTGGACCGTTGACACTGGCGCAACGGCGCTCCAATTGCCGCAGAGCTGTCTCTCGTCTTTTGCGACTTGTTTGGGATGGCAATGCTGTTACCCGGGCCTCTGCGAGAAAAAGTGACGAAACAACCACAGAGCTACCACATAAACAGCCGCAAGTCTTCGATTTGATATTGCTTAAGTGGTTCTCTTAGGCAACAGCTTACATCTCGAACAAAACGTATTGTCAACTTCTCTGTACGTCATAAGGGCAGAGTCAAAAGTTTGAAGGCCATAAGCATCTTTTGTATCGCCACAGAGCGATGTCGGGAGAGAGTCCTGAAGGTCACCGACCTGACAATGGGCATGGTGGCGACTTCAATGAGTCTCCTCTTGATTACATCTCAGGTCAAGGTCTCGGGAGATCGCCATCACCGTACTCTTGTTCAGAACGTACTGTCCCAACACAGGTCGCTGGACCAGATGAGGAAGGTCAGCTAAGCGACGATCATAACATCGTCCTAGACTCTGACGCAGCCAAAGAGAATGAGAGACAAGTTCTAGAACAGGCCGGTATAGAACTAGAAACACAAGAGCTTGAAGCCCACTGGCGCCGCCGGCTACACACCGAAACCCCCGTCCCGGCGCAACCATCTCTCGTCATTGGGGCGCCGCTAGGCAAGAATCTCACAGCAGCTGAAGCCGCAAGACGTCTTGTATCCCAATGGGAGGCAATCTACAAGGCTACCGTCTCAGAAACTCCCGAGGGTGCCGCTTCCGTTCTGGAATCTCTAGACGAAGCTCGCGCTCAACTCGCCTCCTTTCAATCCTCCGATGGAGGCAGCAGCTTCGGCGAGATATCAACGCCACTCAACTCTCTCGCAGAACATAAACTAAACTCCGTCTCTTCCCGCATTCAAGTACTAGAGTCCGCATTGTTGGAGTCCACCTTTCCACCAGAGCGAGCAAACATCTCCGCCGCAATATCATTCTACCGCAACTCCAGCATCCCTTACTCTTCGAATTGGGCTCTAGTCTACGCCGGCAATCTTGTCGACTTCGCGCCGACCTATGCCTCCTTCACCTCCGATCGCGCCGAACGGCTGGACCGTTACTCGCGAATGTACGGCGAAGGATGGCTCTGGTTCGAACCGCCACTAGCCCGAGAGTCCGCACCAATCTTCTCCGCGCGCCGCGGGACCTGGCTGCCGGAGACGGACACATCGTTTGACATGGGACACTACAGCGTCGCCATGTCGTTCAGACGGATGAAGAACCTGGCCTACCATGGTACAAACTCCTCGCGAAAACGAAGACGCTCCGAGATCTCTGACGAAGACGAGATAGACTGGCCACTCTCGTCGGCCGAAACGGACTCGGAAAGCTCCCTCTCTCCGACCGCCCGTCCTTCGAGAAAGCGCGCACAAGAAAAGGCACCACCCACCCAGCTTCGCGAATCCCGTCCTACCCGGCATCCGCACATGACCACCGACCCTGCCGCGCCGGTGCTGCATTTCAGCATGCTGCTCGACAGCGGCGCGACGCTCCCTATGCTCTACCACCATGACATGCTGGCACTGGGCATCAATCCAAACCAATACGCCGCCGTATCCTGCATCACGGTCGAAACGGCGGCTGACAAGCTGATCACTTCGTGGATTTACGAGATGCAGGTCGCTATAGCAGACACGAACACCTGCTCCTCGCTAGTATCCCCCACCTCTCCCGTCTGGCCTGCAGAAGAACATTATTTGGGAGGCATTGTCCCCGTCATGGTCAAACCTCTGCCGAAGCCGGGCAAGGGGCCAGCGTTTTCCACTTCAAGTGGGAAGACGAGCGCAATCGCGCAGACGGTGGGAGATCATACCACATTCCTCGAAACAGCAACCTCTGTAATCGATACAGCGGAGGGAAGAGACTACGGCCGGCTTTCGGGGTTGCTTCCCTTCAAATGCTGCTACGTCCAGTCCACCCCCGGCCTCAAGGCGATCTGGCTGGGTGAAGACCGTCGGGATGTTTTGGGCGCGCATCGAATGCCGGGCCAGATGCGATGGGCGCCAGGTTCGAACCGTACGTGTGATCCGGGACAGCCAAGGGACTTGTGGAAGGATATCTGCGGCCAAGGTGACGAAGGCAAGCCCGTGTTGCTACGCATGGCGCATGAAAACGTCGCCTCTGGGAGCGGCGGTAGAGGCAAAGACCCCGTGCGCATGGTGGATGTTGAAGAGAAGGGGTGGAAGGGACGGAGTGAGATCTTGGTTGTGGATGGGAACGGGGTTCGGACGAAACATGTCATTGAGCCCAAATCTTTGCACGGCCAGGGGGTGAAAAGGAGGAAACTGAACAGGTGAGAATTCCAGGAGAACTTGGTAAACCTCCAGAGGCGATGAGGCCGTAGATGCCGACCAGCAGGCAGACATACCGGTTTGTGTCGGAGGCTGGTTGGTGGCTAAGTTCTTGGGCAGTGGCTAGCATGGAATCCACCGGAAATTGTACATAGGTCTATAGATTTCTTCATAACATTGAACCTTGTAGGCGAATCAAACTTGGGTTAGTAAAAAAGCCAACAAGAGCAGCATGTAACACGACTTGAATTCCGAGTCCGAAACACTGTCATCAGTAAGGGCAAGAGTATAAGAAGAAAATTGGAATATATACCTATCTGCCTCGATCCTGAGATAGTTTAACTACCTATGGTGTCGAGTTACTGCACTCAAATTTTTAGTCTCGAGCCTATTCTCGCGGTGTCTAAAATGCTCTCGATACTACTTACCATTCGATTGACACGCAGTTGGCGATTTCAGTTCATTTGAAATCTTGATTTCGCAGCCTTTGGCTGTCACGGACCCATGTGCCGTACGTACGTGTCTAAACGTACGAATACATCAAACGACGTCCGGAGAATAGTAAAAAACACCGACGGCGCTGGGGGCATTTAGACGATAACTATCGTGCACCTCAACACATGGGACCCGTGCCCATGCAGGCATTTACCAATCCGCCGCTGAACAAGTCTAGTCCGAGAGCCTCAGAGCACCTCCGTGATCATCTGTCCTGGAGTATTGGAGCCCGCGGGCTAGTGTGGTGTAGTTGTTGGATGACAGCGGCGTTTTCTGGGATCAATTCGGAATGCCGAAATACCACTACGGCGATTTCAAGACAGATACTATGCGTTTCTTACCTAGATTCCGGCCTTCCGTGGCAGTCATTACGAAATAGATGAATGCTCTCTTGATTAAATATATAACTTCGAGACGAGACCAAAAAGGAATGACATATCTTGATAGCATTCAAGGAAATCAACTGAAAATCCCAAGTCATCACCGCGCCGAGTCACAGTACAATGAGCACTATCAAGAATGTAACAAAGTCCACAAAGAACACCTTCATACAGCCCAAGCTGACACTATGGAAATAAGATCATCGTAATCGGGGCTGGCCCAGCTGGAATAGCAGCAGCACTGCTCCTACGACGAAACCATAACATATCATGCACAGTTTACGAAGTCCGCCCAGGACCAAGCACTCTGGGTGGTGCCATCGGCATTCCCTCCAATGGACTTCGCCTGCTCGACCGCCTCGGGCTGTACGACCAGGTCGCAGCCAAGGGCGCCGATACATCGAGTCTCTTCCTTCACTCGCTGAAGGGTGGCGAAATAGGGAGGATGGATATGGCGTCGAGCGAGCAGACGGGATTCGGCTACCTGCGGATCAGGAGGACCGACCTCATGGAGGTGCTCTTACGCGCCGCGGACGCCGCAGACATTCCCATCCACTACGGCAAAAGAATCACTGAAATAGTAGAGCACAACGAACGAGTCACTGCGCTATTCTCCGATAAGACGTCCGAGACGGCCGACTTCCTGCTGGGGTGCGACGGCATCCACTCTTCTGTCCGGCAACTATACGTTGACCCGGAATGTCAGCCTCAGTACACGGGTATTTCGAATGTGTTTTCTCTAGTTCCCAACGTGAAGTTATCACCGGCAGCAGCTTCCATCACGGGCCTCAACGCAACAATGACGACTGACGGCTTACTTGCCGTCACCCCCACCACCCCGAATCGCGACCTGATGTACTGGTTCTTCTCGCGGGAGGTCCCACTGCCTGAATTTCCAGACATCCGCGACGGGTGGGAGGAACGGGGTAAGAAGGAAGTAGAAGGCTTCAAGTCTACCCTGCTGGATATCCTAGGAGACTCGGACACAGAATGGGCAAAGACATTACGCGGCATGATAAATGTGACCGACGTCGTCAAGTTCTACCCAATTTACAAGATGCCGACGGGTAGACCGTGGTCAAGGGGCCGGTGTCTCCTTATCGGCGACTCCGCGCATGCCATGCCTCCGCACGCAAGCCAGGGCGTTTCGATGGCGCTGGAGGATGTCTTCCTGTTCTCGAAGCTCCTCGGTAGCGGGTGCTTCTCTCTCGATTTCGGGTTACGACAGTATGAGCTCAAGCGCAAGGCGAGAACTGCGCAAGTATTGAGTGCCACGGAGCGTAATGGACAGGTGCGCAAGAAGAAGGGCGCATTGCATCTCCGGCTGAGTGAGATGGCTCTGTCTGGCGGACTAAAGGTGTACCATGCGGCTGGTCTGAAACGACTAGATTCGAAGCAGAAGCTTCTGGCGTATGATGTTGAAGAAGAGGCATTCATCACGGAGGGAGTGGCGGCATCGGTCGAGAAAGAACTGGACAGCTTGGCTTAGTTGGCATTATTCAAACATCGAGTATTTGGGCGAATTTGACTCTGCGTCTAAAGCCCTAGTAACTTTCTGATAGAGTCTCAATACATATAATAGAATAGAAAGAGGCAGTAACAGTGCCCTGGCCAATGTTATTTTAACATGACCGATTGCTGGATGCTTAGTTTGAGCAGAGATCAAAAGACTTTCCGTCCACAATAGCCGGTGATGAACCTGAGGCAACAGTCGCATTAATTATCGGTGAAAGATGGAGAAAAGGTCCCTTCAAACAAACTTTTAAACATCAGAGGCTAGACGCCCAATATGTGCCCAAGAAGTCCGTTTCTCGTAGGAAGATGGAGACACGATACGCACTAGTATTCCCTCCATTGAATAACAAACCTCTGTTAGGAGCGAGGCTTATCAGACGTCAGTGACAAGCGTGGCTTGACCAACTTTGATGAGCCCCTTTGTACTCTGCACAGGTACTCAACCATTCCGGAAAGCCATCCCGCATATCGAAATCCAAATGATCAGCCAATTGGGCCGTCGGCGATCGGAGATTATTGTAAATCTCCGATCGCCGCCGTCCCTGAAACCACTCACGAGGCGCCGTCAAACTCAGCCACTACGAAATAGGAAACCATTAGACAACTTGACATCAACCTGTCCCGTCTCTTCATCCTATCATCATGAGTCGCCTATACTTTACAAAGACAGTTGCCACCCTCGTCCCGACAGCCCAAGCATAGTCTGAGCATCATGAAAGCACCCCGGCCGTGATACGGTGGACAAGCCTAAAACTCTTGGATCTGAGCTCGGACATCCGGCCCTGTATATAAACTCCGTGCTGCCGCACCCTTCTAATTGGCATGATCGATACCGGGCTCCGCAAGTAACGAATCACCGTCACGCCATCTCCCCCAATCGTTTTGTGTAACGTCGGTGAGGAACCGCCCCCCCGCCATGGCATCGTCTTGGTCGGCGGCCTCTCAGCAGCATCCGGGGCCCAGCCGGTCTCAGCGAGCCATACCTACTATGAGATGGGGCGCCGCGTGTGCGCAGTGCGCGATAGCAAAGGCCAAGTGCCTCCGGCCGGATGAATCGCCGGGTGCGAAATGTGAGAGGTGCGGCGTCGCCTGTACCGGTGTGTAGTTTTGACCCGTGTCAAGAGGCTAAGTTGAGCTGTAGATGCCACAGGTTGGGCAAAGAATGTTCTGTGAAAAACCGTCCGCCGCGGAAAAAGCGGGCAACTAAGCCCTCGTAAGTTGCCATCGTTGCTCTCCTACATCCCCAGACGCAACCGGCTCTCTCTCTTCGTGACATGGAAGGTCAAACGAGGCGAGAGCTCTCACGCTGGTTCAGACTCCAGAAACTTCCAAGCAACAACTAGCTAAGTACAGTATTAGGAAAACAGCACAACTGGAAGAGCGTCTGGATAGCCTCATCCGGGCACTTCAAGGTCCAGACGGTATCACCACCCCGGACAAAAACCTGGCCATTCCCGAGGTAATTCCATCCCCAAGGGGGGTCAGCATCGATACTCACTAAGCCCGCATAGGCATTAGCGACTCCAAAGGACGCCGACCTACAGAATCAGTTAGCCTCCTCCCCTCCAGGAAGCAAATTCATCACAATACCACCCACATACAACGCCTTCGGACCGCAAACATGCATCTGCCGGCCAGCGCCGGGCCGCGTCCCGGCCTCGGTCGACTCCGACGTGACCCTCCTCGCAATCTACCAGGAGTCCCTGACGCCAGTGTACCCCTTCGTCGTCGTCCCCCACGGCACGTTCCCCGCGGACCTGCAGTCCACGCGGCCGTTCCTCATGTCCTGCATCCGCATGGTGACATCGCTCCGCAGCCTGCGGTCGATGCAGGCACAGATGTACCAGCTGAAAGCCCACGTATCACAGCACGTGCTCCTGTGCGCAGAGAGATCCCTAGACCTCCTCGCCGGCCTCGTCGTCATGCTCGGCTGGCACCACCGCCACTGCATGGTTCACGCACAGCTGCAGCAACTCGTGTCGATAGCGACGACGCTTGCCGCCGAGCTGGGACTCACTCGAAGCCCCGGTTGGCAGGAGCGGACGAAGCTGCTGGTGTCTGACCTCGGTGAAGTAAGAGAGAGGACGAACGAGGAGAGGAGGCTGTTGCTTGGTGTGTGGTATCTCAGCTCAACGTGGGCCTCCCCGTCTCTCCTCCGTCTTGGGACTATTAAATGTTGATAAACCGTGGATAGAGTATCTACGGGCTTGCAGCAGGTTGAACCAATGTCGTTCTCGCCATATATGCAACGGTGCCTACGAGAGCTGGAGACGGCGCGCGAGTATGAATCGGACACGTACCTCGTCTACCTCATCAAGCTCCAGAACTTGTCCGACAAGATCGTCCAACAGTCCCGCCGCAGCGACGACGAGGACGAAGACGAATCAGAACGCAAGCAGAGAGCACCTTTCGCAGCGTACATCCCGGCCTTTGAGGCGGGACTCAACAACCTCATCCGAGATATACCGGCAACGTTTCAAACCAACAGTAACGCACACATTTCCCCCGCAGAAGATGAGAATGTTACTAAATAACAAAAAATAGAACTGATCCGCATTCACATAAACACAATACGCCTGCGCCTCCACGAACCGCCCAAACTCGACGCCGCGCTCCTCTCCTCACTCTCTAAATCCACCAGCACTACCGGCATGCCTCTCCCCCTAGACAGCCTCTACCGGGCCAACGCCGCGCTCAGAACGTGGTACGACGAATGGCTGGGCATACCCATCCCGGTGTACCCGTACATGCCGATGGCGGTGTCAATGGACGCAGTCTACGCCGTCACGATCCTCGGCCGCTGGGCCAAGATCTCCATCGCGAGCACCGTACGCCACCGGCAAGTCCCGGTCGATTCCCCACTGCCTCCCGACCCGTCGGGTAACTACAACAACCCGTCGCCGCAGACTTCGGCCCCCACGCCAGCGAGCTCGGCGCCGACGACGACGCCCGCGTCCTCCTCCTCCACTCCGTCACCGGATGACGCAAAGCTCGCGCAGGCCGTCGCGGCGTTGAAGGTCCAGCTCGAGACCCAGCCCGCGCTCGCGCTCGACGTCATGAGCATCATGGACCGGCTGTGCAACGCAATGGAGCAGGCGAGCGCGTGGGTGGCGCAGCGGAGCGAAGACCCAGCGGGCCTGGAACACGACTTTTGGTCGCTGAGCGCGGCCAAGATGAAGATAGCGCAGCTGAAGCTCGAGCACTGGGCGGCGATGGTTGCGGAAGAGGCGGAATCCGACGGGGACGAGGAGTATCTAGACGGTGGAGGGGGGTTTACCGGGGTGGTCGAAGGTCTTGGGTTCCCGGGATACGAGGGCTGGACGGGGGACACCACCACGGCGGGTGTTTTTGATACCTTTGGTTCGCTTTCGTGGATGGAGGGGGTTGAGGATTGGGGGGGTATGATGGGGAGAAATGGTCCGTACCAAAGCTGACGACGAATGCCAACGTAGCATCAGAGATGGTATCCTGCCCATTGTGTTCGGGATGTGATATCCCTGAGAAGAGCATCAATGCCCGTCATCTAGTATTGCGATAACCTGTCCAGTCGTCACTCTTACCGGGACCACCAACCTCGACTCCATCATCAACACCACCAACCCAGATCCCAGTCCTTCAACAACGTCCAACTCCAGCCCCTATCCAAGCACACAGCAAAACCAAAACCCCATCCCAACCATCGAATTCTCGAAACCCACCCTCGACGTGTCGTGCCCAAAGAACCATAATCCATGAAGAATCATGCCGAGGCCCGGCATGGGTGAACCCAGTCAGTAGGCCAATAGCATAAACAACAAAAGAATAAGATCAGACGAAATCTCCCGTCATCCCATTTCCCATTACCCATTTTCCCATCCAATCCTCCAACGCGTATCCCCGTCAGACGTCAGCCCAGTCCACCTTTAAAGTGAAGAAAAAAAAAAAAGGACAACGCACACACGCATTTGCCCACCACGATATTCCCTCCACCCCGTCTCCTCGTGGATCTCTCGCAGGAGTTCGCATGAACGTCCCGCAGTGAGTCAACCGCCAGCCTCCATCCAACCACCCGAAGGAGCACCACCACATCCGTCACGGGAGAGGTGGGACCATTCAACATGACCAAACCTCACGAGCAATTAAGCAGAGCAAGCCATATCTCCCATCAAATCTGCATAACACCCCTCAATGCGCTCCCGTTCCCGCTCAAGATGTACCCCCTGACAAACACGAATAAAGAAAAAAAAAACACCTGACTCCGACCCCTGGTCCTCGTCCCGGGGTTCCAGCAAATAACCTGCTCCACGCAAAATACGCTCCTCTCTCTCATTCACCAAATCTCACTTTACTCCATTAACACCAATATTTCTCATTATACCATCCAGACACCCATCTCATTCTCCCTTTCATCCAGTAAAATAACCCCCACCACAAAATACACCAAAAAAAAAAAACCAAAAGGCATGACGTTACACACAACCAAGAACCAGATACACACACCATGGGCCACCCCACATCAAGACAGCAGCACATACACTATCCCCAAAATAAGCAACAACCCCTGTTCCCATGATCCCCACCACAAGCAACCTGCCCTGCCCCTTACCCCCCTTGACCAGACTAACCCCAAAAACGGCTTAACCTCCAACCCTCGCGAGATCCCACCAAAAAAACCACCACCACAACGATGAGTACCACATCCAACATACAACCTTCCACATACATCAATGTACAGTAAGTACCTTCTAAATCGAACCCACGTAAATCCCAGATTACAAAAAGAAAATCAAAAGAAAAAGAAAAAAAAAGAAAGGATAAAAGGGAAAATCCATCTCAGCCCCCCCCCCCCCCATAAAAAAAGGACCTCCGTCCCATCACAATCCCAGCTTTACATATCCAGTGACGTACGTCGGGAAGCGGTAAAAAAATGGGTGCGTATAACCTCGGGTTTGAAAAAGACACACCAAATCACATGAGGGGGAGGGGGACTTGACTCAACCAGGAAGCATAACAAGCCATACATACTCTATAACCAGTCAAAAAAAGACAAAAAACCACATAAACAAGAGAAAAAATTGCAACAAACATGACCCTTAATGATAACATACATACAATGAGCCCAAGATGCATTAGACTATACAGCAGCAAAATGGTTTGTTGGCCTCCACCACCTCGGACCGCGGGACTAATGCACCCGGCTATGATTAGCACCTTTTGGCACTTCAGGCCCCCCCCCCCAGGGCAAGGGGGCGTCCCACAGCCGCCGTCATTTCCCATGTTGATATCCAGAGAGTTGATCTTCTTCCCTGTACGACGAATCCCCCTTGGACCATCCTCACAAACCAATGCCCGTTCCGTCAAAAGTCATCAAACATCACACACATCACGCATCACGCTTCGCATGGGTAGGAACAAATAGTTTAGTAGAGTGCAGAGAATTTTACTCTTTTTTTGTGCCTTTGTACAGCTACCTTACACAAGGGGAGGTGCAAATGCGGGTATACGAAAGTCTCGAGGGCTCTCACCCCGGCTGGCCCAGGACGGCGTAATTACTGTCGTCCCAATCGTCCCAATTCATCCAGAAATATTCCTTCTGTGATGAGAGAGAAACAATCCAGCCTCTCTCCGACAAAAAAAAAAAAAAAATTCAACCACGTGAACCGAATCCACCCCTGAAAAATTCATATCCATTGTCGGCCCATTAGGGGATATCCGGCCTCCAAGGAGATAGGAAAAATATGGGACAAATCCGTCCGTCTCGGAATGTGGTGATTCCAAGTCGCAAGAAATACCGGTCGCCAGGTTCGTGCCCACAGTGGCCACATGCCCATTGAACCGGGCAAGGACAGGTTTGCTCTCTTCTCCCGTCTGGTCGAGAGAGAACTGTGTCCAGGCCTCGCGTTCCGTCGAAAGATAAAAACCACCTCACTTTTTTTGCTCCCGTCGAGAAGTTTCCTCCGGTCGAGCCTCTTCGGGAGACCCTGCAATCTGACCTTCGTTGACCATTCTTTCGCATCATTGAAGGTCGGGGGTGTCGAATCTCTCGTCTCCAATCGCCTTCTCCAAACCGCAGGCGGAGACACAGCTGCTCCCCAGTCCTTCACCCTTCCTGGGGTGACCTTCTCGCGAACGTAAACTCTTCTTCGGGTGTTGTATAATAAAAATCCGCTGTATGCTGAAAAAAAATAACTCGGGGTTTCTTGGGTATGATCCGTATTCCTTTTTTTTTGGGACACTTCTGCTGAGTGAAAAAAAAGGGACTTTGGTGCAATAAAAAGAAAAGGAAATAAAAGACAACTTCAAAATCGCTCGATGCCATGACGTGCTGCTGATGAAAAGACCATTCTGAATGCCGCATGCAAACAATCTTTTTTTTCCTTTTTCACTTCCTGGACACGCTTAAATGCCCTGCCACGGGTATAATGAGGGGAAAGCTTCGACTGCCCGTATCGTAGCGTTGGACGCTGGTGGGTATCCGCTTTGGGGGGGTGTAGGGGGGATGCAAGCATCGACCTCTCCCCCCCGGCGTTCGACTCATCGTCGGAGTGTTTCTAGGCCATGTTGTGACCTATTGTGTTTTGAACAAACGGGGCGTATTGCTGCTGAACTTGTTGTTGCTGCGCAAACGCCGCCGTGTTCGGCTGAGGGGTGGGGGTTACCGGACATCTCGGAGGCAACGGGTAAGCGTCCTTGGAGACTGTACCGTAGGCAGCACCATCAGGGGTGATTGGTGGGGTCATGTAGCCGTCGACGATTCCTTGGACGGCTCCATGGCCTTTGTGCGGGGTACTGTAGATGTTGGCTTGTTTTGTTGACTCAGAAGGCGGACTCGGAGGACCGGACTGGGCGCGGGCGATGTTGGCCTGGTGAGCCATAAAAGACGCAAGCTTCTTGGAGACGCCGGACAGGTGCGGTGACGAGTACTTTCTTGCCAGGGCAACCGAGGGGCTGTGGAGGTGCTGAGACAGTGTCAGGAGGGTGACGTTCTCGACGTGGTCCCACTCTCCGTCGTTGACCTCGGGCTCGCCAAGGATCGCTCTGGCCAGAGCCAGAGAGGCACGGGCCATGATGGAAGGCTTGGTGGAAACGAAGTCACGGTGGTACAGGGCGATCTCGCAGATGTAAGCAGCCATGTGCTCGACCTCAATCTTGTCGTGCTCCTCGGCGACGATGAGCTGGGTGAAGAAATCGACGGTAGGGTGGCCGATGGTCCACTCGAGGGTGTTGAGGACGTGCATCTCCATCTGGGTGAACATGCCGGCGTCGTACAGACCGCAGCACATGTTGTTGAGCTCGTGGATCTGGGGCACACGATCCTTCTTGTCTCCGTACTTGGCAGCAATCAACAGGGCGGCACAACCAACGAGTTGGTAGTGCTGCTTGTAGACGACACGCTTTGAGCAATACCGGTCCAGCAAGTTGACTGTGAGGAAGAGAGTCTCGGGGAGGAGGGCGAAGGCGGCATGGGCTTCGATGAGGAAGTCGATGAGGTATGGTCTCATGTACCACTGAATCTCACGCTGCATGTCGATGAGGTTTGCGTCAGGCATCGTCTCATCCTGGTAGTAGACACCGTCAGTATTTTTAATTCCAAAAAAAATCAACCGGACCTGAGCCCCTAGTATTTCCTTACCTCCATGTGCCTCATGTGCTTCATGATATCCTCTAAGTACTCGTCTCCGGCTATGCGGGAAAGCTCGCTGGCGATAATCTCCTGCCTTTGCCTCGCAATCATCTTGGCAGCATCCCGGGTTCCCATCCGTGGCCGTTGGGGTTCTTCGTGGCCCTCAGTGAAGTAGGCGGGATCGGAGTGCTGTTGTTGTTGCTGGTAGTACGCCATTATGAATCTTGTATGAGTCGAGGGCGGGTGTAAGGGGGTTGGACGATGACGGGGTCGAAGTTCCGTTTAGGGAAAGAGTGACGATTAAGTTCTCCAGGAAGCTTTTTTTGGTCGGAGACGGAAACGAGCAAAAGAAGAAAAAATAAAATAAAAACAGAAAATCGGTTACGCAGGGAAAGAGTGATGGAATGATGCGACCGAAGGATTAGAATATTAGTATTAGAAGGAGCGTGGTGAAGATGAACAGGGTCCGGCAAAAGAGTGACTGTGGCTGGAAGGGAAGCCGAAATGATGCGAGACCGAGTTCCTCGTACGTGATGACGGAAAAGGTGGTCGGGAGGGTTGGCCGTTTAAAGGGGAGGCCAACTGGAGGGCACTAGAAAAGATGCAGTTTCTGGTTAGCTTCAAGTTTTCTTTGATGATTGCAGATGCTCAGTGGAGCCTAGAGCAGCGGATATTGTGAGACAGGCCAGCTATTGAGAGGTGGTCTAGGTGCTCTGGGTGGTCTGCCCCAAAGGGCTGCCACAGTCCCGCTGGTTGACGGTCCAGAGAGCAGATCTTGAACGCTGACGTTGGGCTGGCCTGTGATTCGACAATCGGAGGGGTGGAGACGGATTGGCATGAGGGGAGATGGGGAAATCAACCAGATTGCTCAATTTGTCTGGGGCTAGACGAGAGAGGATCGAAGGGGACGAAGGGGGTGAGGAGAGGGCAAGGCCGAGGAACTGGAGGGTGGGGGAAGTGGATGAGCCGTGTGATGCTGAGGCTTACCGCCACGGGTGAGAGGACCAACGCTGACAGGGTCGACGAAATGAGACAATTCCTGAAGGGTTGGATTGGGGTGGAAAGCTACGCTTTAACCTGTCCTACGATCCTCTCTTCGGCAACAGCTCATCCCGGTTGTGCCGTGGTTGTTGTGCACGAGGTAAGACTTTTTCTTCCCCCGGTGGACCAGAGAAAAAAGTATGCAACAGCGATAGTGACTGTAAGGGAGAATGGAGGGGCTTGTGTAGGAGGTGATGGGAAAGAGACGGGAAGAAACTGTAGGCAGGGTCTAGAGATGGAATCGAAGGTTCGTCTCGTCACCAGGCCAAGCCAGTCCAAGTCCGTCTGGTGTCTGCATGCACATGCCGGGTGTCTTCATTTCATCTCAAGAACGTACCTTCACAAACAATGCCCGGAGGACAAAAAGAGAATATCTCTTATAATCCTGACTGGGTCATGTATGTAAGTTGGATTGTGGTGAACAGCTCAATGAGGTGTTTTCCGTGGATGGGGATTGACCAGGGACGAAGCAAATCGAATCTGGCGGGCTTCCAAAAGCTTGGCACCTTCAATTCCCTGAGATCGTAAAGGGACTCGGGTTTGGAATGAGGGCGGAACGAAAGGGAGCGTCGTCGGAAGGCCGTGACGGGTCGTGGAGTTGCACGTCTGAATCGAGGACCTCGGTGTCGAAGCGAGGAATTCTTCAGGGGGTGTTTGGTCGCAGCACAGATGGCGGACTAGTCGGGAGGGATGGGGAGGCGTGGAACGGGAGGGACGGTTGGATTGGGATAGAAGAGAAGTGTAGAAAATACCAATCAAGGTCTTCTGCACTTTTTTTTATTCTCTCTTTTCCTTGATCAATCTAGAGTCTCTTGCTGCTCTGTTTCCTCTCTTTTTCTGTTGCAGCTCCAAGCCGTCGAGGTTGGTCGTCAAATGAACCCTTTTGAGTGACCGAAAGAGGCGGAGGAGAGCGGAGGGGGTTGGATTGCGATTAGGAAGAACTGGTCGTCCTAGTTGCTGGAGTTGTCTGGTTGTAACTCTTTGAACAAGAGTTGGGCGGGTTGGTGATGTCTTCTTCGGGAGGACGTCGCCAGATTAAGTCTCTCCTTCCTTCCTTTTTTTTCCTACTCTCTTGGGGGGGGATTAGAGAATGGAAAGACCCTTTAATCGTTTTGGACGAACAAAGGAGTCAGGAAGGGTTGGCTTCGGAGAGAGAATGAATGGATGGGGAGAGACGAAGGGGAGGAGGGAAGGGGGAGAAGAGGGTAGGTAAAGGGTTGGAGGAGAGCGGAGGAGATGAGAAAGGATTGGAAGAGAACGAAGGTGTTTTAACCAAGCCGACGGGCCTCCTCAGTCAGTTGAGTGTGGGCAGTGTGGGCAGTGGAGGATGGGCCAGCGGTCCCCAGTGAAGGACCCAGTAAAAGGTACTTACAGCTTTGGCCCTTTCTGGTTTAGGAGAGAGTGAGAGAGAGAGGAGGGGGGGAGGATGAGATGGGACGGTACGGAGTACCTCTCTCACACTCTTTTTTCTCTCACACACTTACTGCGTAGTAAGGTACCTTGGGAGGGGAGAGGGGGGTGTGGTCAAGGTAAAAGGGCAAGGCAGGAGTGAGGAGTGAGGAGTGGGTGAGAAAGAGAGAGGGGAGTGCTGCTCTCTGCCTGCTAGGCTGGGCTGGCTAGCTGGCTGGTGCAGGTGGATTGATGACCAGGGACAAGGAACAAGCTCGAACCAGGCTTGAGCCGGGCGGGCATGGGGGCTTTGGTGGGTGTAATGCTGCTTGGGATTGGCAGTACCCTACGTGGTTCGGTACCCAGAGGGTGGGTGATTTGACGGGGACCAGGGGGGTTCGGAGGGTACGTATCGAACACGCTGAAGCAAGCACCAGCAGAAGCAGTGACCTACCCCTACAGCATCAGCGGCAGCAGTAGCTCAAGCAAGCAATAGCACTGGTTAGAGAGGTAAGCCTGTCTACAGCTTCAGTGGTTCCAGCCAAGCTGCCTTACTTTACTTGCAGAGAGCCGACCCTCTTTTCCTTGCAGATATGCCCTGCAGGTGCAGCAGTGGTAGTATCAGAAGAGCAGCTGAAATGACGGCTCACTACGTAGACAGACAGACGTAGGTTGATAGAGTCTGGTCCGCAGCAGGAAGCCTACGCAGCAGTAGCAGCAGCAAAGTAAGGCGTCCAAGTAAATTCTACGAGGAAACAATTGGCCGCTTATACACACAATTGATTGTTGCTTGCTTGCTTGCCTGTCTGATGCTGCTCTCCAGACTGCGTTACTTGTGTGTGTGAGAGAGAGAGATTACCGTGTCCCGTCAAAGTTGATGCTGGTGCTCTCAGCAAGTAATGCCTGTCGACAGCAGCGAAAAGGCTGCCGGGAGTGGATGGTGGAATGGCGGGTGGAGTAGAATCGGGTGTGCAATGGGCGCCAATTGGACGGAGTCGGGTACCTTGCGCTGCTGCGTGCGTGGTATTGGTAAGAAGAAGAAGGAGGTACGGAGACGTTTGGCACCGTGGACCTGACGCCGGGGACAGACAGGACAAGGCAAGGTGCTGCCGTAGGGCGGAGCACCTGGCCGTGCTGTACAGCGATGGATGTCTCTCTTACGACACAATGTCCGGTTTTGTGCAGCAGGCCGCGTTCCTTGTTCTTGATTGTGCGGTTTGTGCCTGGTTGGTAGCCTTCCAGCAGCAGGAGTTACAGAGATGGCAGCCTCGATATGGACGTCTCGCGACTTGAATAGCCTTTGTGTGTATCACCCCTGGCAAATAGCGTAATCGGCCGCTGTAAGATGCGGGAGAAAACGTGGGAGTCAGTGACAGAGTCTTCTTACTGGTGGGCGTGGCCGGTTTGGCGAAGGAGAGACGGCGTCAGGGCGTCTTTGGTCAATGACGGGTTGGCTGCAAGAAAGAAGGACGAGACAAGAGGCGAGACGTGGACGGGATGACCGGCGTCAAGCGGGGAAGCGCAGAAAAAAATAAAAGAGACCAATGGCCAGTGGAACCGGCGCAGCAAGTGCTTCTGTCAAAGTCGACGGCGAGGAGGCGGTCCAGGACACGATTCCGAGGTGGCTGGGCTGAGCGTTTCCCCCGTTCTGGAGTTGCTTTGTCGCAGGCAGTTTTAGCGGTCGTTGACGAGACCGGCTCGGGGATTCGTCTTTGGTCTTTCAGGGCTCTGAGAGACTTGGTTGGTTAGGCGTCAGACGAGGCCAAGGCAGGCAGCGGCGAAGTGGTTAGCTGGACTGATGGATTGGTGGCACTGGCGAGTAATGATTGGAGAATAAAGGTTTATGCTGGCTGCTTTGTTCATCAGCCAGCATCAGCACATAAGCCGGAGGCAGCTATGCTATGCTGAGGGGGATCCCGATTTGGAGCTTCTATGGAAAGTGTGTGTGTGGTGGTGTCCGTGGGCCGTCGGGAGACAGATGGTGTGTGTGGGATGGCGACAGTGGAGTTATCCGCTCCCCCTTCTCTAGGAACAGGCCAAACCAATTCTGTGTCTTGGCTGGCAAGAGGTGCCAAGGTTCAGGGCCAGTGGTATGCGTGTAATGGTCGTGTTGTGGCAGGCGAAGAAAGCGTAATAAGAAGCGTGGTGTGTGTGTTTGTGTGAGCGTGAGCGTGTAGTGGTCGCGGTTTGGGTGGTGTTCGGAGCAGGGATTGACGGGAAGACGGACGCCGGCTGGGATTGGCTACGACGCGGTACAGGGGCTTATTGTGTGTGTGCCTTCTCGAAGCGTGGAAGGTAGCGTATAATTTAATATGTACCCTGACAGCGGCGGGAGCGTGTAAAGGTACTTCTGGCTGTGTGTGTGTGTGGTGGTGGAGATGGGCGTGTGGATGCTGGGACGTGGATCTCTTACGGTTTGGCGACATTAAATGATGGATGACGATGATACTGCTGCTGCAGAAGGAAGTAACTTCCTCGCACTGATGAACGGTCCTTCCGTTGGGCGTGGATTTAATCGTGGAGAAGGCGCGGGAGGGAAAGAAGGAGCAAATTGTGGCTTTGTGCCGGTGCTGCGGAGGCAAGAGCAGGTAGTATCGTGATTTGCTCCTGACTCTGTAGTGTATTTGTTACCAAAAGGAGTAATGAACAGTTTGCCCCTGACATAAGCACAAGGCCAGTGGAAATTATACGACAGGAAACACTGAAGCATTCGGCATATGATTTCCCGCGGGGGGGCCCTAGACCGACTGATATACGCCCCGTCATTCCACCGCCTTCTGTCCCAG